TCTCTTTTCTACTCGTGCGAATTCATATTAAGGCGCTCTGTTTGTCAGACTTTCGAGAAGTCAGTTTCTGGGGATTTCGTGACTTTCCGCAAATTCGATCTCGGCTTGTGAAGTTAACAAACAATTATCTTAACCGTTATGCCATCACTGATCGTGTGTAATACGTAGCATAAATTTCAAAGTCGATTTTGTTGTTGCTTTACGATAATAACACATATTCAACTACAACTTAATAACCTTTACCATTAGTATATATACTAAGTTTGGGGTAGCCTACCAGTAATACCCACTAAGTTTTTGCCTAACCTCTAAACAAATTTTTCTAGATAACTTATATTTTTAAAAACCTCCTCGTAACTCCCTTATATTCGGTCAGTCAAAACTGCTTCGTATTACTACAAAACTAAATAGGACGGGACCAGACAGGACGGTCAAGCCCAATTATGATTCTTGGCAATCTTTTTCATTCCATTAGATAATTTGAGTTGTACGGAAGTCGGTCGGGGTATTAATTCGTTGTAGTGGGCTAAGTCTTTCCTAGGCTTGAATTGTGATTGTGCTAAATAAAACTCGCTCGTACTCACAAGACTGGTACCTTGTAATTACCAGAAGCCGTGATGGTAGTGATCACGTCGGCAGTATTGCCAAAAGAAAACCGTATACACGTAAATACACGAGGTACTTTAAGGCTTATCTGCTATAACGGCTGATAAGTGAATGTTGAGACCCATAACACTGATCGGATAACGAAAGCAGACCGTTCACAGGTAACCCCCCACATTTGAGGCAACCATTAACTCTCACACTTAGCTAGATTAGTGCAAACGACTATTGTAGCATCGAATAAGGGAAGTTTTCTTACAGGCGATAATAGTCTTTTTCTTAAAGGCGTGATCTAAGCTAAGCTGCCTGCCAGGATGAAGCCTAGAGGAGGAAATGGGAAATGGCGAACTATCAGTCTTCTACAAAAGGCGGTATTCTCTTGAAAACAAAGCTCTACAAGAATCGGTCGATGACGCGGATCACAAAATTTAAGTTACTAAGATACTTCTTTTGACATAATGCAGTAATCCATGTGGGAACGAAGAAGTCTTTAACTCACTGTATTCACCTTATGAACTATAATATAATGGATATTGTAATCTGAAATGTAAATGTAAATGTCATTTGCCGCTATCACAGATGGTCTTAAATGACAATACAGCCGCGAGCCATCTTCACGGAAGTACTACAAACGCCTACAACTTTCAATAAGCATTTAGTTAATGGATCTCATAGCACAAATATAATCCACAGGCTGAAGTGCATGTGTGTTGTCTTGACGTATCTGGGTCACGCCTTCTTCCGGCAAAGTTGCTTAACCTACTATTTATTGCCTTCTACTAAAACCGGTACCTTCCACCAAATCTACGAAGGCCTGGCGTAACTTCTTGCTGACGCTTGTTTCGATGTTTCTCCTTGATCATAGCGAGGACTAGGTTGACGTAGTGCTGCAGCATCGTTGGTGGGAATGACACTAACAGGAGCTGAAACCATCGAGGAATGAATAGCAGAACCCGCGAATTCGATTTCCTTTTGGTGGCTAGATGCACGGTCCAAACAAAACTACTTGCCTCAAGTAAAAGAAATTGCTCGTTACTATTAGGATTTGTGCAAATGGAATAATCCACGCACATATGACCTCAGTTTCTGCCGCTGAAAGGTCATAAAAGGTCGTCTACTAATAGCACGAACATCGAATTCAGCCAGCTAAGTACCGTATTGTGGGTTTCTATTGCTAGTGCTATGTAAATAACATGATTAACGTTTCTAAATTTGGTACTTGATTCAGTACAAAAATGTATAATGTATAACATTTGGGTAATAATAAAAAATTATATCAAAATAGACGGAGTTCACTATGTGTCTTTTTTAAATGTGCTAATTTATTAAACGAGGACCCTGACAAGTGTACTAATATAGAATATTAAAATATACCCTTTGCTACATAGGATTGCTATCTCGTAGACACAACAAAAGGTTTTTGCCACCCCTACAATAACGATACATTTGTGTTTGGCCGTCGTAAATGTACCTTTCCTAGCTAGAGACCCCTAAAGAGTCATGTTTGAAAACCTTAACGTACTCAGTAGTCGTTACGAATATTTTGAATTCCCTCTAAAAAAATTTGACATGCTAGAAATACCAAATTTGTCATGTCGAACAAATTCTCGATTACCTAGTCTTTATGACAGCTTGCGGTTTACCTGGTAAATTTAATTTGCGTTTTGAACTCTTACGAAAGCATCTTCGTAAGTTTCAAATTACCGAAAAACTTTGGCAACTGCTTGTTAGGCAGTTATAACTAGTCGCGTTTACGTTAAGTAAACTTAGCATCTAGTTAAGCCTATAAACACAATAATTTCACCAACCTTTTATTCCGTATCTAGCTAATATTGGAGTATAACGCGGTTATAATTGTAAAAAATATCTTCATTACAAATTCACTAGATTAGTCTCAGTCCACACGGCTTAAGTGTTTTTTTTATAAGTGAGGAGCATTTTCGGATGAACGTTTTAATAATATAACAACGAAAAGGGGTACTGCTCGTTTCGAAGCCCAATAAATGTATGATCACCTGTAAATATCTTCATCGTTACTATGCGCTTTCAGAAAGGGCCTCAGCTATTGAAAAATCATTATTCAAGTTTGACCTAAAGTTAGTCTCTTATGCTATAGGCTTTTTAAAACGTGTAATTCTATAGTGTTGAGGGAGGTTACATAATCCGTCATAAATTGTAAATGCAGTCAGTAGTTTATCTTCAAAAATAATCCAGCACTACGATCCCTAATTCTCTAAAGTTCTATTTAGCGCTTAAAATGTAAAAAAAGTACATGTTAATATTTTGATATTTAATATTAGTATCAATATTTTAATTACACCCGGATACAAATCGTGGCTTATGTGAGTTTTCTCGTCTTAAATTAGTCACATTTTAAAAAAAAAGTTAAGATTTAAATGATCCGATTTCGGCGGCTACTCACTCATAAGCTTTTTTTTTTGTTTTACCTATAATAGGTAACATCTTAAACATGATAAAAAAGTGGTTTATGCAATACCTCCATCATACGTTTCCATCTATCTTTACAAGTATAACTCATTATAGTTAAAATATACTCTCAAAACAGCGTTCTTGATGAGAAGTTGCGCAACATTTTGAACGCCATTGAGTTGACTAGCATTTCAAGCGCCTCGTGCCTATCTGCATGCTAAAAATTGGCTCAATGAAATAGGATGTTTCTAAACAACGAAACCGCCGTAACCTATGCATGGATAGGATCTACGTGTATAGATACTATACCATAAGCAGTTGGAACCGACAGTGAACAGTTCTTTATGAATACCCACTAACAAATTGATCAAAGATAAAATCTTCCTTTAAAACCCATATGTCATTGAATACATCTCGTTAATACATATAAAACCTTCGAATACCTTGACATTTGTTTGAATCATTTAAGCAGCGACACAGACTGATTGAATACAACATACACATGCCGCACGAAGCTATAGTATAATAGCTTGTAGTGTTCTGTGAGTATTCGAGCAAAATTATTAGAGATGCCGACTTTGCAAAACCGCTTAATCAGCTTTGTGACTACCCCGATTCTCCCGAGAAGCACTATGCCACAAACACGCAGTCATAATTGAAAAATCGTCGTAAACAGGCCTTAGTAATATTCAAAGTCATTTCAAGATTTTTTGCATTCCCTGTGTTTTACTTGCTATCTTGCTTTCGTTCAACAGGTCCGCAGACCGCCCCGAAGTGCCGACAACCACAGTTCCAGCAATTAGTAGCCAGGCCATATCGAGACTATGATAGACTATAGTAGAGGCCATATGATAGACTTAGTCTTTTTGTAAATATTAAAAAACGTAGTAATTCATATGATTTTCAAATATTTCTGCATCTCATCCACAAACCGATCAATTCAGTCAGTTTTGCTGTCTGCTAACTTCATCAGCTGGATATCTAGCCTTGAACAAATAAAACTGAACTAGTAACTTTTTGAAATTATGTGGAATATGCCATGTTTGCTTTGCTACGCTGTCTTTTTCTTGGTAACAGTTAAGGACTTCTTTAAGCACCTTTATTGGGTAGTTATTTAAACCAATTATTATCTCTGTTTGAAGCAATACATAGCTAAGGACCAAAACAATGTTGTCACAGCTTAGCATGATTTCATTAGAGTCTTCTCTTTGGATTACAAAGATGTGTATCAATCCCCTTCGTAGGGCATCAGATCTTTATTATTTCAAAGTTATATGCTCAGTTCTGTAAGTTAATGTACAGATATCTAATGAGCCAAAACGCGTGTGGTCTCACTGTTGTTAGACTACTTAATATGTCGTCAGAAAAAAAAATACGGCGTTGCTAGTTTAATTGAACGGGGAAATCATATAATAAATTATCTGAACTGACAATACAGTTACGTCTACAAACCCATACTACTCTTCATCCGCGTTCTTGGAAACCGCTCAAACATGCCAGGTTACTAAGATCTATCGCACGATATGGTAAACCTTTAGAAATCATTTTTTTTTACCATTTTCTATAAGGGCCCTTTCCGGAGTGACTAGGTGCATAATAAAACTAGTCAATTTATTTTGTTCCAGATTTAGTTTGAAAACTCTATAGCGAGTCTCGGCTACTAAAATGCACTATCTAGGCCAATTGTTTTGTCGCTGAGTTGCTCCGATTCTGTCTTTAAGCTTTTTAGAAAACGTAAGAAACGAGGATTTTCTTAGTCGTTGCGAAGGAAGGTTCTGATCGTAAATCTGAACCATTGTAACTAGCCATTAAGGCTGGTGTTTAGCATTTTCTCAAAGTCATAGGCAAATCCATTTATCCTCCGCCTCTAAAAAATCTCTTTTCAAGCCAGGACAACAACCGATTATACTTTTACTAGAAAAGACCATCAGCACCATTTAAAAAAAACGCATAATTATATAGTAATAATAAACGGCTTGGTCCCATTTATTTGCATTCATCACTTGAGCCTGTCATTTTACCACGTAGTTGTTTGTTCAAGCAAAAACAACCTTAGTCATATCAGTAATATTTATCTTCTCATTATTGGTTCTATATTAAGTCTTCGTTCCGTTCGTGGTTAACGATCACACTAATAGGTTTGCTCAAGCCATACTTATATACAAGAACCACACTTATTTACATAGCAGATTACAAAACACATTATGCACCGATAAGCATTGATACAAATATTTTGTGGTGCTCTTTGCACTATATTGAATTCATTAGCCTTTATTATACCTATTGTATCGCAAATGCTGCTGGATCCACCTGAAACATAAATAAAGAGCATTGAAAAAATTCCATTACGAATGGGGACCTGTATTGAATGCCTAATAAAGAAACGAAAAATTTATCTCTTTAAATCATAAGTAGCATCTAGCATTAGATATGCACCGAAAGCTCATCAAAACTCCTTTCCAATTGAAAAATGTATTTTTTTCTTTCGTAACTCTCTTGGAATTCACAATCGTGCTAGGAGTATTATATAAGTATATAAGCTGCATTGAAATTATGAGCAACGTTCGTATTATTTGTAAAATTTCACTTGACCAATACATACGACCGAATATTTGTGAAGTATTTAACAAATAAGAATTAAAGATTTCATAAAATTTGTGGCTCGCTCGTATCGAATCTCACATTCACGATAATTTGTCAAGGAAATAGAATGCAAAGAAACAATACCAGCACAGTAAAATTCTACTGTAAATACCCGTCGTATTGCCTGCTCTATGCTTGTTCTACCATTAATCATAACAAAGTATTTACTGCTTCTGGTATTATAGCATTAACTACATCACACTAATGACTGAGCATATGTAAGTTCAGTCCAACCAATGTGCCCTATGTGAGCTTATTCCATACCTTTACCTTGCGACTGCTTCAAAACTAGTAATCTTAAAACCGTCATTAGATATCAACCGTAACCATCAACAATTCTATCCTTTTAGTGATAAATTTCATACAGCTTGTTAGTACAAATCACACCACAATATCGTCTGCTCTTGCAAGAAACATTGTTTCTTGCATTTACAATTTAATCCAATTACCCGTCGATGATCTTACCTCACCAAGCGACAAATAGTGTAGCATGTAGTCTGGGGCGACTATTAATGCGCTCGGTCCAAGCTTGGCGCGCAGCTTTCTTGCGGTGCTGGTATCTCCCTTTGTCACAAAAATGTGCGTCGCTTCCTTGAGCGCGTCCATGTCCTCTCGATTGAGGACCACGGCACCACCGGCTGTTAACAACAGTCGATGGCCACGTTCTCGTTCCACTGTCGAACTGAATAGCCCTACTTTCCACTTGTCAAAAGCTCCGGTGCCATATTCGAGACGCTGTTTCCTCCATCGCGGCCAGCACGCGAAGCGTTCAGCCGATATCTTTCGGATGTTGGATTCGGGTTGCCCTTTCGTGCCAACACCTAACATGTACTCAGCCTCCGGTAAGAAGTATCCGGCTGCCGAGCTATCATCAACGTAACTTGGCGCGAGAACCCAACCACCACACGCCAGCTGTTGAAGTAGAGAACTTTTCTTCATAATCCGCGGTTGGGTGGGGTCTATAATAGTGATCTTTTCAATACTCGAAGGAGCACTAACCTCAGCTGAAAGGTTATCCACGATGGCTCCTCCTAGCTCGGTAATTAGGTGCCGACACCGTTTATCTCTGAAAGCGATTTACATTTATTAAGCATATGTACTAAGCATTAGATTCTATGCCATTCCGGAACTGATTTGAGTGCACCAGTACTAACCTAAGAAACTGTGACAAATAGACATTTTCTGAGTAGTCAATACGCATTTTCTCTAGTGCATTGCCGGAATAACAAGTAAGCATTTAGGCATAGCTGGTTCGGATATCAGCTTAGCAAAGTTAGTACCACGGAGCATTGTAAATACCAGGGATGATTATACAAAGAGTTAGTCAATGTATGTTTACCATGACGTTTCAATGGGTCTATTAAAGAAATACCAGATAAGTCCAGCAAGACCTAACCCAGTCTAAGTAGGAGCTAGGCTCCTAGTCAAGTAAATGCTTGATGCAATGCCAAGAGATAATTCTGAAGACTTGTTCACGTAGATTTTATAGCGGACAGTAATGAAAAAACGCAGGTTTGATACACTTACGGTTGTCTTATACTATCTGATGATCAAATACTCTATCGTAAAGGTATAATAGCGTGATTCAAAACGCGAAACAGCGACCCTACCTGTTGCCAGTAGCACTGTTCAATGGGTAAAACCTCTACCATCTCTTGTCACCTATTGTATAATGATTGAGTCGAACGCAAAACTAAATGTCATGAAGTAGGCACTTACGTCTCTTCATCAAGGTGATACAACTCGTACACCTTTTCAGTCGACTTTTTCGTTAGAGGTGGTGAAGCTACTTCTGTTGTATCGTTATGAGTAAGCTCGTGTTTCTGGAAGAATACGAGGCAATCTTGGTTAATTGAATATTGCTCAAGTGAAACTATCAAACATAATGAAACTGAATGAAAGTTAAAAAAAATCATTTACGACACTCTCGCCCGTACTCATCAATATATGACACACATAACAGAGAGTACCCTAGTGACTAGATAACACCGATGAAAAAATTTCAAATTTCTTGAGATGATGGAGTTGTGTTCCTTAGGTAAACAAGTAATTTAATATTATTATTTTTATTATTTATTATAAACATACGTTTTATTTGTTATGGGCACACAAGCGATATTTCCTCTGTGTAAGAATAACAATACTAGTACTATTTAGCTGCCCGAGTCGTGTGCTCTGATATTCAAGTAACTTTGGGCGGTCCGTCTTTAAAACATCTCGCTCTTCACGGAAACGAACGGCTACCAGAAGGGCAAGCGTGGTTATGATCGCTTTGCTACTCCGAGGAACGTAATAATAATAATCACTTCTACACGGAACCCATATTTAAATAAACGTGTGCAACATAGAAGTATAGCAGTGATAGTGCATTTTTTTGAGTCATAAGAAGTGTGGTGGGCTGTTGTTTCTTTAATGCCATTAAAGATAATAGCTTTTAAAACATAATAGAGTTCTAATACGCCCTTTAAACCTAAATTTATTTGAATTTTCGACTATTACTCTTATTATAATCAAAAAAACTTCTTACCACAGGATTCTTTTTAAATCTCTTCCCAGGCGTATCTTGAACCTCAAAAGTGTCTCGCAATCTTTTTGGAGTAGCTTTCGTTACAGCTGGATTATTCATCATCTCATCAGTGCAATGCCGCACCTAACCGCAATTTTGTCCCAAACAAATAAGCAATTTGTTACCGAATTTCATATTTTTGCCAAGACTTTAAAGACAATAGTTAATGCAACTGATTCAATCCAAGCATATACAAACGCATAAGCAACCCCGGTACCACTTGAAACGAACTGATAAGCGACCATTAGATCGAATTACTAGTCAGAATGGCTTTTGCATATTACAGAACTATAGATAACATTTATTCTATTTATTTATTACTAAGATAAATATCAACGGTATTGAAAAATTTTACTAACCATGGATACGTCTCCAAAATTTGGAGCAACGGCATCCCCGTACACAGTGCTGTTTAACTGAGTGGATGTGGGAATTGTCATTGTTCTGCCGTAAGTGACGCCTGCAAAACTCAATAACAGACCGTCATAATAAGCTGACTAAGGATTTATAAATGACACGCATGACCCTTTCTGTAGTTAGCGCCAGTACGAATATTGTTGTCCAGTCTTGAGACTTGTCCTATATATATATTTCGAGTAAATAGCGTTGATGAACCAGAACATCTATCCCTTTGGAAAAGTCTTCCTAGACGAAGAAATAGTTGATTTAGGTTTTTCTAGACCAGGTATATTAGCCTTGATCATCTCTTAAGAATGCCAAAAAGAAAAGGTCTTGCTGAAAATATATCTTGATGCCCCGTTGGTACCTCTAAGGGACGCATAAAACTCCGTATCAGCGCGGCAGCAGTTACGCAAGTTACACTCACCTTCTTCTGGCTGTGTCTCGATATCTGCAAGAACACTTCCTATTGAACATTGACTAGCCATAACGAGCTGAGACCGCCTGTTCTGAGACCGGTTCGTATCGTCCATATCAGCCCGAGACAATCGACGAACTAAAGGAGTTGCTTGGCGTCCCGAGTTCCGTCTTAGTATCTCTCGTAGGGGATCCTTTGACACGGAAGCGGCAGAGCTAGCCTTTTGTAAAGTTTTATCTGCTTGCGGGGCTTCCATCGGAGTGGCGGGCACCTCTGACCCCACCGACGCCACGGATGACCGCCTTGGCCTAAGGAATCGACTGCTAGATGCGGCCCCCTCAGTAGAAACATTGCAGACATGAATATTGTTGGAGGGAACAGATTTGTCCTGATCCTCGTCCTCACTAACATCAGCAACACTGCCCTGTTCTATTTTTGCTGTGTTCGCTTTCTGCCTAGGAGTAGCGTGACTACTCTCGACGCTCGGTTGCTCCACGACAGGCATCGATAAGTCAGCTTCATTCTCTAGAGTTACTCCAGATGTGTCCTTCGTCTATTTTTGCGGACAGAGAATCGCACATTTTTAAGTGAGTAAAACTTCTGAAAGACCTATTCTGCCGTCATCATCTACATAGCTAGACCTAGTAGAAAGACAGATGAAAAAGAAGCTCTAGAAAAAGAACTAGAGTGGTATAAATCATCAACGTTGTATTATGAACGCTCGCCTTCTCAGTAAGCTGCTAAGCATTATACTTTAAATTAATCTATACTGACGGCATTATTGTGTTATTTGCGCACCATTTGCATTTGAACTAGATTGATACCTCTTGCGCACAAAAATCCGCAGACTTTCTATAAACATATCCACACTTCATTAGGGGAGCAATTACCAGACATAACCAATATCCGTTAATGTAATCTACCTGACTAACCGGCATTTTAACTGTCGAATCTTGTAACTGTCACAATATGAAATTCGAGCATTGCAAACTACAAGAGAAAGCTCTTTATAAGGTCATATAAAAATCAAGAAGTGTGAACTCCTCTACACTAAAATATGTGTCTTGTATGTTTGTCGTCAGTAAAAAATACACTCGGAAATCTACAATTCAATTAAGTACCCCTATACGACACAGTCATGGGTTAAACCGTATTCGAAGTGGTTTCCAGGACACAGATCCAAATCCTTCAAATGTTTTTCTAACTTACCGTAGTCCTCGGCGCATCGTCAACTTTCGGTACCGATATGTCAAGGTCGGAGTCCTCCCATTTGGGTACGTAGTCACTAAGCTGTGAAGTATAGTAGTACTAATAGTTAATGATGATCTTCTCTGTACCATGTGACTGTTACTCTTTTTAAAATGTCCGCATTGGCACGAGCCCAATTGTGTTTTCTTGTAAGCTCATTCCTATAAAGGATGTCTCTTCTCGTTATATGGATATGATCGAAAAATATGTCTACACCAATTTTCGTTCTGTAAATACGCACCTTTTTACATCGGACATACGGTGCTCCATATTTTTCTTCGTAGTTAGGAGGAAACTCTACTAATAGAGGTCTCTCCATGGTATCAATGGTAGCCCAGACCCATTCAACACCAACGATTGGCTTGTTTAATCTTTGTGCGCTCACTCGCAACCGACGACCATCGTCAGATTGCTTATGACTCGGTGGCAAAATAATCAGTGTACACCGCTCTACAGTGTGGCATACCCAGCCCCCCAGGCGTTCGATTGACATCTTCAGTTCGAGTGAACAAGGCTTTAAGCCGTCTTCATCAATTACTGCGACAATTCCGTCCAGTGGGCGGCCGATTGTTAAACATGATTTAGCTGAAATCATGAAGCGCCTGTGAGAACTAAATATTCAATAAAATGTTGTATACACTACAAATTAACCTTTAGCACCTGTAAATAAAAACGTCTCCACATTTTTGCTGGCACTAATATTTTCCTTAAGTATTTATAGTGTTTATTATAATTCAAATTTCCATAAATAACAACCGGTTTTACATGGCGTGTTAAAATTACAGTAATCAATCCGATCGTTACCTTTCCTGAGAAGCGGTAGCTAACAGCATAATTGCAGCGTTGACACTATCCTCGACGATAAAAAGTTATGTCAATTAGCAAATTAAATCAGATTTTCCAATCTTTACCTACCGCTCACAGCTTGCGAGCACTTTTCATTAAACGAAGCCTCAGGAATATCGTATGGTCGCAAAGGCGAGTCTTGAATTTGCTGAACCATCTCGGATATCTTGTCAGCCCCGATTCGGGGCATTCCGGGCGAGTCCACATCTGCGCCGTTTGACCTCTTGGGTGTTTTGAAACGGCTACACTCTTCGTAGATTTCCCGCATTCGCTGAGAGGACAACATCGGCGTCTGAGCCCCTGAAGGACGACGATCACTGGCCGCTGCAGTTCCTACTCCATTTAATTCGTGAACAGGTGTCTATATTAGTTATGCGCGTTGTAGTCACGCACTGTGACTACGGCATCAATAATACTGGGTTATGAAGATATTCATTTTAGCTAAGACATGTCTTCGCCTACCTGATAACATCAGCAACATCGATACCAACGAACATAGTTATCGAGCTTATTAACTTCACATGAAATGAAGCTTACCACTGTTGTTAACGGCTGTTCCTGGAGTCACTATCGTTGTTATTGGCGGCGGTGTCTGTTTGCGCGAAATGTCCAATCCTTGCGAAGGTGTTGTTTGAAATTCAATAGGCCTCTTTCGCTTTTCAACCGGAGTTTCTGGGGGCGGTCTGCGGGGAGATTTTTTTGCTGCGTCCGGTAGCGATTCCCATTGGCCGGGATCTATGAGGTATTCCTTTACACCAACGCGGCAACCTTCCCGAGCGCAAACAAGCACCCATTCCAGCTAAGGCGAAATAACTATGTTAGTGATTTCAGTAGTAACTTTCTTTAGTAGCTGAGTAGGAATCATGAAATGTGAAGTCAAACGAAGTTACCCACTGTAAACACCCAAGTCCAGCTTCTCCATGTCGTGTGCTCTATGCACTTTTATTTAATGTGAAAATATATGCTAACGTTCGTGCGAATTATCTTAAGACTATTTCTTGCGCAGATATGGAATGTTGCTTATTTGCATATGTTATCTTCCTCTACCAGTAATAAAAACAAATTCAACTTGACTTAATTATGTATATGGCCGTTTACCGTGACCGCTGGAATTTTCCACCGTTTGGCTGCTTCTAGCTTTCCGTTGCTTTTATCCGTTGCACAAACGAGGTGTGTTGTGGCCCAGAGCTTTTTGTCTGGTTTACTACTCCGTACCATGACAGCTTGAAGGGAAGCACCAAATAGAGCGAGGGCTCGTGACATACTCGTTACTTCTTGCTCGCTAAAGCCTGCAGCGGAATTCACAAAAATAACAAATAATCTTTTTACGCGAGATGAACACGGATTCAAAATTATTGAATGCAAACGCAAAATGAGTAACCTGCTTATATACATTTATAACACCATGCATTACCTGTATATCCAAAATCGACTGAGGACATTTTCGAAAAAAAAAAACCTACATTTCGTTAAAACACAACCAATCAAAATGCATGGAGAACATATATCTTGTGGTAACCATAACAATAGAACTAAGGAATCGACTGTACTCAACTAACCTGTAGGAGTAACTACAACGCTGGACATTACCCCGTTGGGAACGTCAGCCCTCGGGGCATGGAGCACCTGAAAGAAAAGGCTGACCGAGGGATCTGTCCAACGCCGTTGTTTAATTACACCTTCGAGAAAGAGTATAGTAATCGAATTTGGTGGGGGCAGTGTAGCTGACACCATATTCGTGTAAACCATATATAGTTCTTGAGAAGGGCCAACAGTGTCTTCGGAATCGACAAGGTGTCCCCCTAGAGATTCGATACCCTCCCGAAGAGCAGGCAAGTCATGTACTACATTCAAATACATTGTGCGCAGTTCTGCAAAGAAAGAATTACGAAAAAAAACATTATACGTTACTTAAAAAAGAAATAATATAATAAATAAAAAATAATTAGTAAATAAAAAATCTAGTAACAAAAAACAGATACGTCATACCTAGGTTCATATATATAAACCCCTTTTCTTATATATGTTGCTTTTCCTTGCGCAAGAAAGACTTATTTTAGTATACAGGCAGGTCTTCTGAATCTCGGGGGCGGCTTACCTTGTGTCAGACAAAATGCCTTTCCATTTAGACAGCCTGTTACACTGGCGCTAACAGAAGTGCCGAGCGTCAAATGTTTTGAAGAAGTTTTATTACCCACGCTGCTACATGAGCAATTAGGGTTCGCGGTAACGCCCAAACATGCCGAGCTATGAGTTGTGTGCTCTCCGTCTGACCTGTCTACCCCTTCGCCCGCTTCTGGTGGGGGGTCGAATCCAGGAACGGCGTAATTTACTGGCGACACCAACGATTTTTCGCGAACACAAGCCACCAACCATGATGGTAGGATCACAGCCGGTGAAGCAAAAGTAGCCTCGATGTTGCGTTGAAGTTCAGATAGGCCGCTCGCCGATGGGCTGCATAATGAGTCAACAGCCGAGTCGATTTCACACTTAAAGATCATCAACTAGAAATATATATTTAAGTTGTGGCATTATAGTGTGCAGAGTTGTTTAACTATTGATAATTAAAAAGAAGGTATATAATACATATAGACTTTTAGGCTTACATCGTTATAATGTGTGTTACGCCATCGTTGAAAGCATCTTCCCGTAGACCACCCGCCTGATTTATTATTTGATGCAAACGGTCTAATAACGTCTTATCTCGAACGCCGAATACATGAACCGAACAGCCATCCAGGAATTGCCCAGCACCCGAAACATCCTCTTTTTTGAGTCGGAGTACCTCACTGTAGGCAGGATCCCCAGCGGCGGTGCTTCCAGAAGAAACATTCGTTGTCCTTTCGGAGAGAACCGACCTGCTTATCGTTCAATGTCTGATTTATTGTAAACCTAGAGGTCATGTCGGTATTATTTGCCGCTGCATTGAGAAATGTCGCACGTTGGAACTAGCTAAAGAGAACTGAGTGGAAGACATGTTACTCCTGAATATACTGCCACGTGAACATGTAATTGAAATGGCTAGTTATCCAGCTACGAAAACTTATTTTATTGTGCATTGTTTTTAAATACTCTTCATATAGCAATAAGCGTCCTAAGTGAGTTATGTGCCTCATTTTGCTTTTAAATATTTTTTTCAAGCTTCTAATCAAAGTTTAAGACTAAAATGTAATTGGTAACACCTTACCCATACCTCGATATAGTAGAGGCGACGGATGTTACACTTGAATTCATTACGGTATCATTTTTCCCGGTTAACGGCTCTATAGATTCTCCAATGAGATACTGAATAGGATCAACCATGAAACCTTTCTTTACTGAATTGGATACCCAGTCCGGCGTAACCACGTGCAACTGCCATTTTAAGGCCGCTGTATACTTTGCACCTTTTCCTTCTCGAACCACCTGACAATACAATCCATTTAGAGGAATATTTGAAAAATATAAAATAAAACTCTAACTATATATGAAATGAGATATTTGATGTAAACACAAGCGGATCTGCCCTTGATCGGCTTGTTGGGTTGTGAAGGATTGATGCTTTCCAGAATTAATCGGCGCGAGAAGCGACTAATCAATATGACGGTATGGTCGACAGAAGGTTATGTTTTCCTCGTTCAAATTTACCCGTCGTCTTTGTAGATTCATATGATTCGTTCGAGATCGAGTGGTCGAAGGTGGCCTCAAGAACTTAGAAATCGTCGCTTGCAGGCATCCTCAATAATGTTCAATATGTATAGAAAAAATAATACTTCAAATGTTAGTGGTAAAACCGAAAAACTTTAAAAAGCAAATCAATCGATAATACAAAAACAAATTTATCGTATCGTGAATTAAAAAAAAAATTGATCTTTTATAACGTTTTCATGTACTACCATCTAGTTAACTACAGAACAGACTGTCAATTATTTAATTACTTACAAGATGCGTATTTGCTTTAGTTAACTTTCCAGTGTAAGTTCCACCGTTATCTTGTATAAGTTTTGTTACTTCAGCCTTTTCATCTTCAGCAAGGCCGGACGTGGTGATCGTTAAATTGGCAAATATTGGAGTCCTAAATTCTTCTGCGATAGAAAGTGCATGTTTGAGTTCATGTTGCGTCGTATCCCAAACACGATCAATCCACGCGGTTGTTTGCAGTGCAAGACCACGCTGGGCGCCAACAATGTACTTCTTTGAGCCTACCTCGTCTGAAGTGAAAAGCCAAAGCCAGCATTTATAATTAGCTCGATACAAAGAGTTATCCTGTACCCGTCCAAAATACGTCAACAATAAATAATAATGATGATAGTAGGCTATCATTTTATTGATCATATGTGCATCCCTTGCTAGGAAATATGAACACATTTCAAGCGATTATTTAGTTTTTGACATATGAAGAACTCTGTGGGAAACGGAGTTTATAGCTACTATATAGGAAAGTCTTTTGAAAGCGATCGCTAAGCGTGTTTGTTGAACCACGATTACGTTTAACAATATTAAAGTAGCGGATATTTGCCATCGGATTTGAACAATCTAAGTTTACTAAGGAAATATGCAATAATGACCCTACCTTTGATTAAATGAGATTAGAATCGCTGCTTCGAGGCTCGCCAGCTACACATAGGATCAGTGTGAATAAAGTTATTATATTATTTTTACCTGTAACAACATGGGTAACCGTGTTGTTGAGTGCGGCTTCCATTCGACCCCCCATCCACCGGATTCGCTGGGTGAGACCCACTCGCCGCGCTGGAGTCACTGACGAGAAAGTAGCTATTACGTTTTTCATCGCTAGTGAATAGATTGCCTGTCCTTTTTGGAACAACGGAAGAGCGCGCTTGTCTCTCAAACAACGCAATAACACCAGAGGACCCCATACCGGATGCTCCGAAGCTTGAGCAAGATCAAACACAGGACCTAATTAAATCAATAAAAGACGGTGAGATAATTAATAATAAGAAACAGTAAGATGTTACGTTCTTATAATACAGCTTTTATATTAACATTAACTGACATTGTTTCTTTTATATAGTTACGCGATTTATACAACATATACTAAAACATTGCTAGGCAAAAGGACATTTATCCTTATATTTAAGAAACTAAAATATAGCAGAATGCGTATAATATACCCTTCCCAAAAAAAGTACGGTAAATCTGCCGAGAAGCGCAAAGTATTATTGATTATTGCTTTTAAGATAGGAAATAGCTATAGAGACTAAACTGCTCAGCAACTAACCTTCAAATGGATCACAAACATAGTGGACTAACTGATTCTGATGCTGCGATTGTGCTTGAAATTCCCGCATCTCTTCGAGAGTCATCCACTTGGTCTCACCTACCGCGTGGGTTTGGTACGCGTCAAAAGCTTCTTGAAGACGAGCGGTACGCCCAGCGTCGCCATATGGCTCACAGAATATTGTCAGAGAAACATCGCGTGCTGAGATCTCTATCAGAGTACTAAACTTGCAGGAAACCCATTATTATTGTTATTAATCCCTTAGTTGATAATAAAATTAGAAGTTTCGAACGTTCATAAAGCAGTCGAACTTCAGCATGAATAATATAATATACAATAAGAGGATTAAGTAAGCGTCTTAACAAAAGTCAGGGACTTGAACAGGCTCGCTAATGTGTGTAAAGCCCTCGATACCACCCTAAGATGGAGAATACGCACAGATTAGTTGAAATTTAGTGAGTTTTTCTGCCATCTCTATTAAGAGGGCGCACAGAAACAAGTAGAGTTATGGGCTCGGAGTAAATACAGAAATAATTAAATGAGTTAACAAAGATATACTTCTTTGGTAAATCGTAAATCGTTAAAGGTTTCAAATTGAAGGTTAACTAAACTTGCACAAAATAAGTATCCTCTAAAACAGCTGATTTTTCATGACATGTGAGCTACAGACGGTTAAAAGCATCTTTAATAATAATTAATTTAAATATATAAATAAAAAATATATTTTTTTCCTTTTTAAGAAATAAAACATTTTTGGTTGAATAGAAAAACAAAGGGGTATTTACGATATATAACAAGTTCAAGCATCTCATAGACTCAGACATAGAGATAGGCGAACCAGTTATTCTATCTCAAACCCGATCCATTCTGAAAGCTGCTTCAGCAATGTTTTACAGAGGTGATCCAATATATGCATAAGGCATACTATTCTGGACATTGCTAGATAAACACTTACACAATATTATCAGTTTGTCTGTGAATGGCGTGTTTTTGTTGTAATAACTTTAATAATTCGAATAAAGTTTTTTTTTAGCTGCACCAGTAAACTTGTATAGAAGTGGCATCTCATCAATAAGTCCTACTGGACCGTATTTTGTAATCATGGTGATTGTTGAACAGTTGGGTAAAGAATGTGAATCTGCAATGTCTTCCGCCAAAATCATGAATTCGGGTATTAACAAAAAATAAATCTTGCTTGCGAATATGATGACGACCGCTCGTAGAATTTTACAAATATCAAGCTATAAATGTATTCGAGCTCTGTTTTACCCAGCATTTAGACATATCATATAAATAAGTTGCTTGGTACATAGCTAATTTTCTACTATCCATATGGAATGGTCTATAAATAATACTACCACAAACTGTTTAGTATTTATATACTAGAAAATCGATTGCCGGAAAGGGTCTTGACAAAACATTACGATTCATTATAACATTGTATAGAACACCACAAACTTTAACGGAAACTTACGAGGACGGGCCCTCCAAACGCGAGATATTTCTTCTTCGCGAAAAGTCCATTACTAAAACTATGTAAATTCTCGTTTTCACACACACGCACCCTTAGTTCGTTCTTTTTAACGGACTTTTTCGAGAAGAAGAGCTGAAACGAACAGAATAGCGCCTTTGATGAGGATCTTATTGAACCGCTCGAAAACTTGAAAACAAAGGACACAGCTGATGAACTAGATTGTTCTGGGATACGCAACAGAATTGGACGCGCGGGAAAATTGAAATAAAAAGCGCCTATGCCTGAAAAACTCTGAATAGACAAAGAGTGCAGGATATTGTCATGAGCCTGTACGATTCTGAAGTTATGTAGGTACAGCTCCGCAATGAATCACAAATTCTTAATGGTTCCTATCAGTTTAATACATCTTATTATCGTTGGCGTCTTTAGGGTATTTTGAGAAGCATGACTTGAACACCATATGCGTTTACAAGCTAATGCTGTACAGAGCTTCAGTTTATTTTCGCCCATTTCAATTATAGGTTACTGGTATTAGCATAGAAAACCCAGCACGTCTTTATTTTTATCGTGTTCGATCATTTGTAAGGACAACAGCTATGGTCTAAGTACCGCTTCCACGAGCCTCTATTATATATTACTTTTATGCTACTTTTCACGAACCTGGCTTATTCTTCATAATCAGTTCTTCTCAAGTCCACCTGCGCCCAATAAAAAAGAAACTGTTTGTTTTGTCTCGATCTTTTAGCAGCAACCAGTCCCGTCATACGAACCACGCTTTAGCACATGCATAGTTGAATGTACATGACAGGACGAACTGGCAAATCCTAAGCGAAGTATTGCTGATAGCGAGTATTCGCTTATCAATCAGCCTCTTAAAAGTATTTACAATGCCTAGCTCCTGTATTGTATAAAAATTCAGTGTATGTACATATAAATAGTATATAATAAATCGGTTGAATGGCGTGAAAAGTCACAGATTTTTTGGTAAAAGGGAAGATTCCATATCGAAAAAGAAAGAATCCATATTGATATGCGCTTTGTGCGATACAGGTTTGAGCAGTAGCAGCATGCACCTAACAGATGAGTTACTAGGAGTGACACTGTAATTATTCATTGGCTGTCACTACCTGCCAATGGCCTTCCTGTCTCCGAATAAATTGTGTATTAGCCTCATATATGGATCGAAATTAGCACACAAAATATTAGCTAACCAAAAATAGAACTACTTGTCAATTTTTGGAACTTTTTATTGTCACTCTATAATGACCGTATCCTATGAAGTAAAGGACTTCAAGAAACGTAAAACGAGACATGTCGTTGAGGGAAATGGACTACGCAAATTATGAAATTGGATTAAAAAGGTTGAGCATTTTTAAACACAATCGACAAATTCTTGTTTTCAACTTATTTTCGTAGTTACTCCACTATCAGGGAAATGCTGATTGACTGACACAAGTGTACATTCAGAGTTCACGTCCAAAATAATAAATGAAAAAAACTTCACTTCCCTTTTTTTTTTGTCATTATCCTCTACCTTTCACATTAGATTTATTTTACGAGTACCCGAAATTAATTTACCAGAACTATTTCTCAGTCGCCGCTGTTTGAAAGAACTAGAGCTTCTTATTTAGACTTTCGAATCGTAACTTCAAAGATATAAATGCACTTTGTATGCGCCTTATCGTACAAAACATCTGAGAACAAATGCTACGGTTGTTTATGTGGAACCATTTTTACACAGCGAGTTAAACGGTAGCATTTAAGCCCCGCACGCAGAGGGCTATCAATATGTATATATACGCCGGGTTCTGGTAATCGATCTTGGCCATAAGTGGCCCTGGCCTGGCCTGACCTAACGAAAACGTTCGTTACTGAAAAACGTATATTCAGGCGAAGCCATTTTCATCTTTGGAACCACAAAATATTCTGTATTAGTGACACTGTTTTGTAGAGTGCATATTTGATAAGCAGCAGCCAATTGCTAAATCGAGACGACTTTCTCTACCACTAACTTCTTAACGCACAGTAACGAGTGGCAAGAATCGCCCCGTCAAATACTAAAAAATAAAAACCAATTTTTATTATTTGTGATTTAAGTTTATAAAATTTATTGCTATAAAGTGACGTAAAATTTTCGGCTGCTGAACTTCATTTTCTTTCATAAAATGAATGTTTAGTTTGTCTTTCTTGCTTTATCACTTTGCCAATGACGTTATCTAATCACAAATAAACATATATATATATATATATATATATATATATGTTGTGTTTACTGCATATATATACGCAGGTATAGTAGTAGTAGAATAACCCTGCGAACCTACCGCCACCGTAAATCTCTCCTCCGTGTGCCAAATCAACGATACTTCTACTTGTTATCGTACACATTACACGGTAGGTAATATTGTACATGTCTGCCTTAGTGGCTGACACCTGAGATAACTTTATCTTGACACCGCAGATGCAAAATCAATAAGTTTACAGTTCAGACATTCAGCTCAAATTAAGACTGTACCCATCTATTTCTATATATGGTCTTTATAAAAAACTCTAGAGCAGATTAATTGTACCGACAAAATCTACATATTTTTACAGCAAGTAGCTGATTTCTTGCTGAAATCTCCAACTAGTTGTGCACACGTGATGCTGTATTTTTATACAAAAAGTCATTCAATATAGAAATATTAATCTTAAATATTGACTAAAAGCTCGGTTTCGACAAATGCCTATTATAACTCATGTTGAAAGATCCTTCAGTTGTTGTCTAAGGGACAGACGCGTACCAGCTGCACCTTGCCAATGTCACGGTTTCCAAAACTGACTCAGCGCACCTGGCCTGCGCTATTGTCTTAATAGTATCTAACGTCCCTAATAGGATCATCTAAAGATACATGTGTGCATCGCATATTCACATAAGCTATATTACCAAAAATAATACAATAAGACTAATACAATACAATTTCCAATCAACCTTTTGTCGTGTGGAAGCACCTTTGTACTCTTCTGCCAGTTATTGGGAGTCTCAGATATGTTATCACAAACGGTTTTCGTCGGCCACCTGGATTCTATAATTTTCACAAAGGCTTCAAGCATAATCACTTTTGTTATCCCTGTGCGGGCGTCTTAATCAAATTCACTCACCACAATACAATTAATTTTTTTTTACTTTTGCATTATTACTATTTATTACCTTTGCGTATTAACTATGAAATAAACAAAAGTCACGTCTGGTCTCCCGGATACTATGGGATGATTAGTCGTTTCATATATTATTTCGATATAAGTTTAATTAGTAACTAGTAATTTCGAAGCCTCTTAAATGTTAATCATTCAGGCACTATTAAAGTGTTAACTAATTAGTCAAAACCCTTGATAAGAATCTTAAGTAGAGCCAGATAGGATCTTCTTTCTACGTTCATTTTCTGTAGCTCTACAATAGATTTTCACATTTCAACAAAGTGCATGTTTAATAAAATTATATTTACATTTCATAATACTTTGCATGACTGAGGCGTTTCAATCCATCTCTTTTTAAACCAAAGCTACGTTATGATTGCATAAGTATTTCTTTTAGCCGGCTATAGGGCTACTCCTCAGGATCATAATAATAAAGAAATATACTAAAGTTGAGTGAGTTATTATCTTTTTGGATGTCCATTATTAGATTTATTATTATTATTAGCTCAACACAAGCCCAAACGAATGTGTACGTGCTAAGTTTAGTTAGCTATTTAATAAATCTTCAGAAGCATATTGTCATATCCAAATGATAACCCATATGTCGACATGCGCAAACGTAACGGTAAACGAAACATTTGTTTGAAAATGACGAAATTTTTTCAGGGAAAGAATAAACAAAGATCAACACAGAGCGAATTCAGCCCGCTGAAATAGAAAATCGCCACTAAAATTGGTGTCCTATCGTTAGCAATAGTTCAACATTACGTTTTTGATATCCTTCAAATTGCGACTCAGCACTCGTGGGACAGTGATCTTTGTACAAATGCACACCGTCTAATTGTTCTCTAGCATCTTCACCCAACTTTACTTGATTTGACTGAATGGACGGTACGCCCAAAATACGTCGGTCAATAATGATTGCGCAGTAACTGAAGGTTTCTCTAGAAAAAATATTGGTGAGTGACTATATTTACTGATTTACTTCGGCATCGCCGAATTTAGCCCCCATTCGACGGCCTCGAAGAGTGCGATTCACTTTGGCCTCGACGCTTGTTCCGGTACGAGGCGGACCTGCGCTTGGCCCGGCGGCGCTTCTGCCTGCAGAGGACGACACGTTCTCTGAGCGTTGCCGTTGATCAGTTGTATGTAAAGTCGGTGTTTTATCATGTCTCATCGGATCTGAGTGCTTCGTCTCGCCACCACCCTGGGTCGACGCTGCCTGCAATCACATCAAATGGGGATGAGAAATTCGGTCTCAGAGGTAAAAAATTATCTTAAACAAATTCATGTTGGTAGACTCAGGTATAATAAGTACATATTATACATTTAGACAGACCGTGTGAAATGAATGAAATCAATGAATTAACGGTCTTTTGTAGAAAAAAAGAAGTCGTAAGTTTCAACTGCTTATACCGAGGCAGGCGGACTTCTAGAGGTTTTTCTAAGAGATTAAAATTGATTCTCAGGGTATGTTATGCTTGAAGGATATTTAGCGAGTTTTGCAAATTTCGAGGAATAGGAATAACTCCAAACTACTTATAAGTAGCAGTCTTCTGTACGCATTACCCATTTAGTGTTCCGTTTACCCTTGAGAAATATAACTTCTAGATACTTCATCAGACATCCTAAGGTGTCCTTCTACATTGCCCTCTTGCATTTGTAATTTATTGTGATAATGAAATGCCCTATCGAACACGACTCTATTTGTTTTCCTTATGCCAGTTACTTGTTTATATAACAACACCAATAGTTTCCTTTTCAACTTGAATTTGGTCGTCTAAGACTTCTTTCGAAATTCTGCAAGGTAAACAGTCTATGAAGTTTTTTTAATTCTGGAATTTTAATTGGTATATCAACTGTACCATCTGGGAATAAAGATAAAACTCTCGCATCAACATGCGTTGCTGATTGCTTTTTAGTAAGAGTTGTTGAAGACGACGTCGCCTCCCGATCATTGACGCGGCACCTATAGTTTTCATGCCGCAGTGTAACCTGTTCGTCTTCTTCCTGGCCTTACTTCATTCGCGAGTAAGCTTATGCCTTCGAAATTCTTGATCAATCGCCTCCGTGTTACCTCCCTCAGTCAAGCATCATCCGTATTTTTGCAGACACTTGCGGGACGTCGACTCATTATTTCGATGTTAAGTTTTTATAAAATTCAAAAGTTGTGTCAAATCGTATTTTACTTCAGTAGACGCGTGGAAAGGGATCATGCGAGTCGTTTGCTCCACCATTTCGATCGCTTGCAGATAGGGCGATTTTAATACGGGAAATATTGGAATGTGCAGAATACTACCGCACGCACCGATAGGTAGCGTTATCCGTGAGAATGCGTCCATGAACCTGAAGGGCGGAAGGGGCTTTTACCACGACCCAGGCAATCGCGTAGCAAGCCGGGAAAATGTGCAAAGAAACAGATACAATAATTTACACTCACTAATATAGAAAAATGACACTCTCAGGCATGCGCAGTGGCTTCAAAAAATGCAGGCCTATTTTCGCAGAAGGCCGAGTTGGCGGTTTTGTCCGCTCACAAATGACGCTATACATGTTCCTGGATTCTCATCAAGACGTCGTTTGCCGATAAGTAACGAGACCTCAATCGGTGGGCGGCCTTCATAAAGCTTATGATGTCTGCAGTGGTAGAGCAAATAACGACCTCCAGCCTATTGCGGGAAAACCGGCCGAAGACCCCGCTATTGAACTAATGGTGCAAAATGATTTGTCATAGTAGAATGGGCAGGCCACTTTAAGCTTCTACGGCAAGACAACTTGATCATTTCTTAGGAACATGGCCACCACCGGAAGCCAACCCAGGCTGGTCAACTGACGTACTGCAAGCGGTCCAGGACTAGCACCATCATTTACCGCCTTTTTCACGAGTACCGCCATATATTATCGCCACAACGCGTACACGTTACGGTTTGCTGTGTCGCTACGCTGCCGCACGTCAAAGTCGTATTCCAACAAGGCCCCACCATCCAACTCAAGGTAGGTACGTTAGCACGCTACTGTTAATGGCCACTACAGATCGCCGTTCACACAGGTATGGGTAGAATTTCTTTCGTGTTCAGACAACTGCCAGACGCTTAATTTATTTGCGATGAATGCCACTTCGCTTTTTCGGAGCGAACGACGCCCATTCGCATAGGCTATAACGCGCCCCACGTCTCCGTCTAAACGAGCACCGTCCCCACGCCAACACCACTCGCACTGATTTATGACATCGATCGGCAAGTCTCTTCCAAACGACTACGAGATAGATTTACCCGTCATTGCCCCCTACAAAGCCAGTAATGCTTCCTTATAAGGTGCAACTTACGCGAGGGGACGTTTGCTTCTGATCGTATAACGGTTTTGTGACCTTTGCGAAGCCTTTTCAAAATCGGCAGCAGTAAGATACTTACCTCATGAAGCTTCGTAACTGACGAACAGTGTGACCGACGCTAAGGCATAACTCACTAGAACTTTCTCATTGTTAAAAGAGATTCCAACACGAAAATATTACGTGTGAGGTAAGCGATCTCCCGCAGAGCAAATTAATGCTTCGTCGCCTTAATGTGTAGACCGGTGGCATTAAAAACAGAGTACGTTTCGGAGATGCTTCTCGAGCCTTCGACAAAATACGACGATGTTATCGAAATGGACCATGCTCTATTACATCGCAAGCAGACATCAGCGGTACTTCCCTTGCGATGCAAACCCGTTACGTAGATACGACCCGCTGCCAGTGTGCGTACAGGTAAGAAGAATGACCATCAGTGGGCACCATATGAATTACAAGGTGCATTACGGGTAGCCTTCACACCTTCTCGAATAAGTGCATTAACTCATCACGTGACGACCTCACCAGATGTTTACAGTAAGACCCAAGCCGGATCCAGGCTTTGTCTATATGGAACTCGAGCGGTTTTCTTGATTCAAGACTTGATAAGTAATACACTTTCCTGAGCTTGGCCTTACCTGGTTTTCACTCGCACATAGACGAGCCGAGATTTTTGACTAGACCACATGCTCTTTTTTGACCAGTGGTCACCACGCCATACAAGGTTACAAAAGTGCATGCAAGACGTATACAAAACCCCACCTACCGGAACACTTAAGCCTTGGTAACTGAATGGCCGCGACTACCCATTTCAAGCAGGCGCTAGGCATTAACTGGCTTTCTTTGGCCAAGACTACCAAGAGCGACTCGGCAAATATTGTGACATACCACCTGATTAATTTTTAGCCAAAACAAAATTATTTTTTAGGAACGGCTGTCCGAGGTTGACATAGTAAACTAGGTTATCGACGACGGTACCTCCACCCAGTTTCTTACGACCTTGAGCTTTATTTTTTCGTACGGATGCTATTGAGCATCGATAAACATGACGGCCCGTTTGGCAGGCCGAAGCAGTGCCATGCATTAGTGTGTTGCTTTGACCCAACCGAGACGGTACTCATCTCGGCGGCGGTGTCCAGCACCATCCGGACTAATTGTATGCCTTTTAATTCGATGCAATTTTCCAAAGGAACCACGGCTTCGATGAATCGGATCAGGCCAAAGGAGCCACGGTGGCGCGATTTGATGTTCAAGAGCTGTGCACGCAAGCAATAACACCGTAGCAGACCGCGTCGGTAGGACCATTCATGGAGCCTCGCTAAACAGACTCAGCCCTCCTGACGATCGGTCTCCGCTCGTCGCCCGTTTTCTGGCGTTATCTGGCGGGTGGCTTGGATAAGAGCACCATACGAAAGCGGATTGGCCGCCACGATAAAGTCCAGAAACGATCAGCTTCACCGTCCTTTTAATGCAGGCAGGAGGAACGCAAAGCCCAGTTCAAAATCGTCTATGACAGTCGCTTAGAGTTTTTGGACCCTTCGAACTTCTGTCCATTTTCCTTTTTCGAAAAACGCTTCCAGTGTGCCAACTTCCTCTGGGTGAAACCGTGCGTGCGATTTCCGTTCGAAAACATCCCAGTAGTCCCTCGCGTCATGAGCTCTAGGTCCTACCGTGCTAACCGCGTAGGTACAGCCTAAGGCGCCACAGTACCTGTTCCTGCGGCCACAGCCAACTCATACAACCACCAAGGCCAGCTTCATCGAAACAGGCAGTCTAATTTTCTCTACCTACAACTCACAGCCGACTCTCTCGTCAGGCTTTGCATGATCTTTACGCCTGCCTTCGTAATTTCTGTCTGATTTCAGTTTCTTCTCCTCAACAGCTCCTTCACCTGAACTTCCCTTGCTTGGACACGCGTGTGTGCACTGCTCTATGTCATAAATGGATCGCCTTAAACATTGAAAGAGTAAGAATTATCAATAGCTGTGGCACTGATGAGAGCGGCTCCAGTAAATATATTATACATGCACACTTTTAACATGTTCCCTACCAATTAATTTGCTTCCAGAATTACTGGTTACCTTTGCGGCGCCTTTTTGAGCAGCAGTACGTCCCTTGGCTTCGGCCATCATTACCTAACCAGACAAAAAGGATATTTAATTTAATTATGAAATGTTCTTCTACACAGTATTAGATTATGAATTTATTCACACGATATACCGATGCATAAAGCAAGAATGAACACGAAATCGTACGATCAACTGTTATGCTTTCCCCCTCCTTCCACGTTGTGATCATCTTAGTGAATAGTACACTTAAGACTAATTTGGTTTACAATGTCTTATATAAATTACATTTATTATTAAGATAAGTATAGTATTCAACTGACCTGCGATGGGATGAACGCGAAGCTGCCTTTATTTGCCTGAGCTGCACTCGCTCGCTGTTGTCTGTTATGAGAAGGATCCTTGCAATGGTCTTCGTGCTGATCCTGACGTTTGCTTTGTTGATGATGAGGCGATTTGTTCTTCTGACATTGATCCGTATGATTTTTACGGCTCGTTTGTTGGGGATGATAGTGTGGTTCATTAAGATCCTTCTGGAGACCCCTCTGATACTTTTGATAACCATAGACCTCCTTTAGTTGGTTCTCTTTCCATGCCCCAGGAATGAGATTGACGGGCAGACCATGCGCAGTATGCCCTTGATCCCAGTGCTGTTGTTTCTGGTGCTGCTGCCGTTGTTGTAGCTGTTGGCCTTGCTGATTAAAGTAATTTGCTGAAGGCTGCCTTGCATTAGACACGCTTTTGCTTGGTGTGGCTTGCTGCATGCTAAAGTCACCGTACTTCTGCTTCATCTTCGCTGAAATATTATGATGCTCCTGCTTCGTCTCTGCCTCTGTTTCGGTTAGCTGCCCCGTTTGGGACAAGCCAAAAAGTTGCGTCACCGTTATAGGAATGCCCTGCGTATAATTACTAGCATTCCCTGAATTTTCTGTTTTCGTACTCAGAGTTGCTTCCACAGCCATAGGTCTGACGAGCGTAGGCGCCGTGGATAGGGAAACGGGATTTGGGTTTTGGCCAAGTGATGCCTTCACGCCTGTTTTACCAGTTTGAAGTTAACTTTTGTTCTTCAAGAATCCATTCAGAAATACCTAATAATCCCGCATGGTGTATTAAATCTAGTTAGCTTTTTGTCAAATTTTCAATTAAATCAGACTACTGCCTTCCTACCTGATATTGAGTTGAAAAGAAAGGTAATGATGTTATCTGTTGAAGATGTTTCCATGCCAACTGGATCCGGGAAAGCTGTTTCAAACTTTCCAGATGAACCCACATTTTTCTTTGCTCTAACGGCGGGGGAACCCTCCTGCTTGCTACCAGAGATAAGGCCTGTAGACTGGGCCAATCTGTTTCGAGAATGGTCTTTTTGTAGCGGACGACTGTTCGACTTTTCTTCGGCTACGTTTTTAGATTTCCGCAAGTCCGACTGTACGTTTTGCTGATATTGCTGTTTCGACTGCTGCTGCTTCTGCTGAGGAGTCTGTTGTTGCTTGGCACGTCCTGTTATTGGATTTCCCGCCTGATATGCGCCATGCTCGCGACGCAGCATTTCTGATTTCTGAGATTCGTCCAACATCTAGAAAAAAAAAAGTACCTCATTATACGACTAGCTTTTCACGACATATTGTGCAGCAAAACGGAATGTACCAATAGTTTTATAAAAATCACACAAATTGGGTTAATACAGACCAATATGCAAACAACAACTATAGAACCATTGAAACTGGTCACGAATGTAACCCAATTTTGCTGTAGTGAAAGCCGGTATTTGTAAGGTCATCTTTACGTTCTTTGGGTTGGCGAGACGAAACATAGAAAAAAACGAATGCTGATTGTTGAACGATGCTGCGTAACACAATACGATATTTCATTTCGGCAGCATATTCAAGTAGTACAGAAAAAAACGTGTAATTTAAGCTAATTAATGCATCGATCGATTTATGAGATCATAAAGAAACACTGTATTTGCGTTTTCCGTAGCTGCTTGACCTGGTTACAATAATCCTTTCAAGATGTAGCTATGCCTTCAAGAAAACTCTCATCGCAGATTAAGGTATATACGGTTACCCTAACTACGCGTGCATTAGGAAGACGTTATCCTTGATGGGTGTCACCCGACTGAGACGGCTTTAGAAAATACGTGTATACGGACACCCTACTACGGAAACAGCACCTTGATTCATTGCTAATACTAAACGTTTGTTTAAAGATGTTTTATTAAACGCGGAGCATTTCAGGTTAGTTGAAGAACACGCACAAGAGCCACACAGAACACGTCTATTTTGACACCGACGTGCTGTGAAGTAGTTAATTGGTGCACTCGTATACTCTATTATTATAAACAAGTTACGCCAGAAAATTAGTTACATGGAATTTTTAAAAGAAGTGATTGCAACGGCACTTCGATGGGTTCAAAATTTGTAATATCAACTATATTTAGAAACCAACAATTTCTTAGCTATTTTACTAATTTTCGGCGCGAAGTTTAACAAGGAACAGTGTGTAAAAAATCGTTGCTCTCAAGTGCATTTCAGCTGACCGGAACGGCCCACGTTACAAATTATGTTCAACATATAGCTTGCTGCATTCGTTTCAACGACATCCCTTTTATATGATTAAACTCTACCACAGTTGAAAGTGTTAAATTAAATATAAATATATATGTAATTAAATATAGTAAAAATGTAATTTGTTTCTAAAAACATTCAAGTTCGTAGAAGACACAGGGAATGACCTGATAGTTCTGCGCAGTTTTACAAGCTGGCTCTAATATATATTTGCCGAATTCATAAAATTGTATCAGGTTATTCTATGATACAAATTAATATTATATAATATAAAAAAATTTCACTACTCATAGAAGTCGACGATGGGTTTCTAAAATTGCTAATGCTGTATTTCATACTACATTGGTGCTATGCGATTTCAGCCCTTGAAGAAAGGTTACATTTAGTCTTTAACCACTAGCTGCGTCTTGGGTTGCGAAGGGTAAAAGCGGTAGTCTGAATCCCGCGGTAAAGTTAGGAACCCGTCGAATTTACATTTCTTCGACTAAATGCTAAAACAAGGGTATCAACACAAAAGCTTCAGCCCGTTCGGGCATCCCTGTTTTTACTTCTAGCGAATAAGAGGCAGTTAAATATCTCTCACAGTTGAAATTAAATGATCTCGTTAACGCAAGATTATATTGTGTGATTGTCTTTAACATACGAAGACATTTGAGAGTATTCTGAAAACCTTGAGATTTTTTGAAAAGTAATAAAGCTTTTTTCGACGTGTTCATCCTTTTCATCACCGCCTTGAGCTACGTCACTCTATTCAAGCCTTGCTCGGAAGAGGATGAACTAACCCGCTGTCCATGGGTGATGTTTATTAGCGAAACAACCGATAGTGTTGCGACCCGTCGACCCTTGACTCCATGGCTCTGAATTCCGGTCGCAAATTCTTTATCGAAGAGAACTTCATACGTTGCTTCACGCTCATCTTCCTGCTCGCCCCTAGAGAACATGGGTTAATCGACATAAAATTCCAAGATGTTTATGACTGTACTGATAATATACCGAACGGAGCATTAAAATTCCGACAGACTTCGGCGGTTTGACCTAGAACAAATCAACAAATGCCTAATGACAAGAAACAGTGTGTAGTTTTGGGAATTTAAGCAAGGATCGGCTATTATTCAATTTTTTCGTGTTGAACGAACCCTTACCAAAACTAAAAGCTTTCATTTTCCCGAAATCGACGATTTACATTATTGCCAGTTTCATGCACTCCCGAAAAATCCGACAAAGATATTGACGAGGGAAAGCAGAAGGCTTTTCACAATGTTTAGAATTAAAGGCCTTAGGGAGCCATTTTTGATATACCGCCCAAAAAGCTTTAATACAAAAACCGATAGCCGTTTTGGAAAGGAGAAACCGATCGCACATTAAGTCGTCCAGATATGCTTTCACAGTTAATTTTTCAGATGAGTCTTTTTCCGTTTTTTTGCACCTTTGAACCATTCTGGCCGTTTCGAGCTCCTTTATTTTTAAGACTTTTGGCTTCCTACCAGCCGAAGATTCAGTTTCGCAGAAATTTCTCAAATGGAGTGTATTGAAGCTACATTTCAATAGGTTTACGCGCAGCAATATCGCTTGACGTTGTACGGTTTCTGTTAAAAATTTACTTTCGAACTCAAGAAGCAATACTTTGGTTAGTTAGTAGTTTAGATCCAGAATCTAAACTGTAATCCTACTGGAAGGTGCTTATGTTGAGCAAAAATAACTGTCTAAAATTGTCTTTAAAATAATCAAAAAATTTCTTTAGAATATCTATTTTTGTTTAGACTCAATCTTAGAAGCAACTAATATGACCATATTAAAAAAAATTCAAGAAAAGAAATATATATTCGATATATACTAAACATTCTACATATATATATATATATATATAGAATGTTTAGTGGCTCCTGACAGAATATTGATAGAAAAAAATAGACGAAGTAGTAAATACGTCGACCTAACTTTGTGCCAGTGTACACTTGAACACGAAGCACTATACAATTATAGCAAAATCAATTACATTTCTATAATTATGCGAAATAACAAATTGAGCTTTGGGAATATCAGGTAACGTGTAAACGGATTGGCTTTGTCCGTTCAGTCGAAAACTCTGTGATTGGATAACTACGATAACCTTAGAGGCCCCTAAATAATTGTACTCGTATAAAATCCACAGCGAGGCATCAAACGGTTACTATTTATGTAGGGCCAGAAACCAGGATTCAATAAAGTATAGAAAAAATGTTTCATAATTACCGATGGATGCCGATAACTGTACCCTTGAGACCTAGTGGTACAGCGATATCAGGCCGCACGTTGACAACACGATCGTACATGCAGAAATACGCGCGCTTGTCGGGAACGAATAAATTAACGCAAACGTTGGGCAAGTAGACATCGGTTACGTGTACCTGCGAATGATCACTGATTACTTGGTAGTCACAACTTAACCGGAATCCAGTTGCTAACAGAAAACTTATCACAATGTTTTCCAAACGAAAATTTTCGATCAAACTTTTGTGAAACCATAGGCTAGCGAGGCTTCCATACATCATAACTATGCTAACTTATTTCGTATCTAGAAATCACCAGTTTCACTTTTTTGTACACAGTTTTCACCTCTCTTAATTTAGGACAAATATGCGATTTTATTAAACATCCACATCTCTTTCGAAAAAATACTATATCCAAGAGCAATGTATAACTAACCGTTCACAGATAAATTTACATTCGGAAAGATAACGTCGAGCTTAAGGAAGTTTAAAAAAACTACTTGACAGAGTATAATTTCTGCGAAGCGAAATTTGTACTTACCTTAACAGTTTGCTCAATCTCCGGGCTTTTAAGATGTTCATCCACACACTGTTGAATTGCTTCGATAACGCCTTCATCAAACACAATGGCTCCAGAAGTCTGATGTGGCGCCTGTAAAGGCATTGTAACAATGGAAGCGATTACGGTATGTGCAATTCGTAGCGTAAATTAAATCTTTCACCAGCCTCCCTTTTATTATCCCTGACGCAACCTACAGCTTACGCGAGAGAGAATCGACGTATTCCCTAGGACGCCAGCATACTATGTCGGGTATCATATACTTTCAACTTCTCTAATCTTGAAACGTTTGAACCTGACATTTTTTCATACTAAGAATCCTTATGTTTCATTTTCAATGCTAACGATATTATTAACCACGCTTCATCAGTACCTTAGAGAAGGGCTGGTCCTTGATCCACTTGGCAATTTCGCGGGCTTTGTTCAACCCATCTTTGTAGGACTCTCCCGGGAAACATTTTTCTAAGGGAATCTTGTCCATCCCGATGAACTGTTTTAACGCCAGATAAAAGTCGCCGAACGTCATGATTAGCTCCCGAAGAGCCGCAACCGTATCTTGCGAGAAACGCCTTTAATGTTCACACGTTCTCTTTGTAATATATATATAAGTCGACTGTCAATTTTGTTTATGCATATTCACATTTCACCGTCACCATTGTTTATAAACTTGCAAATATAAATGAAAAAAGCAACTCGAGAGCGGTGCGTACCATTCGGTCTTTCCTTCCTGAGTTGTTACCTTCTTTGAAAAGCCTACTACTTCCTCGTTCTTTTTGTTAAACTTCAGATTCATCCCAATGTTGACGTGCTGCGACGAATCAGCCTCCGTCGAATTTAGCTGAATTTGGATACATCCCGTCAGTCGAGCTACTAGATGGGAATCAAGTCCAAGTTCACGCGCCAATCTAGATCAAAATGCACAAGCCAATATATAATATTCATAGAAGGCTTAGTACAGCGCAATTTTTTTCATGATAGTTGATACTGCGATAACGCACTTCTGTCTATTTCGGTTCTATAGTACTTAGAAGTAGGGAAACTCCGCATATGCAGAAGAAACGAAAGCCAACTTTATCTCTAAGCGCATAAGTGAATGCAGTAAAGCTTACCTAAATGCTGGCAAGTAATTCCTTTTTCGTAGCTTCGGTTCTCTCTTACGGATCTCAGTAAAATCAGGCTCTTCCCTAAATCGACTCTCCACCACGAGATAGCCTCCTTTTTGATATCCACAGATAGTTCCCTGGAAAAGCACGAGTCATTCGACGTAATACACTTCCGTCAGCAACGAAGATCATTACTAGCTAAAGCCTAGTCAAATACACGAACTAAGTGGTATACATCACCGATTCTCAATTAAAAAGAAAAGCCTGCTTTTTCTAATAGCTGAAAAAACTATGGCCGAGGTGTTTTGAAACATCTGTTCTTTATGGAGACGATCCACGAAAACAAAATAAAAACACGCCTATTTGTTATCAAAATCCACTCACCTTCATCCCGTACTCATTGGGGCTGAGAAGAAAGACGAGCTTATCTTTAACAAAGACATCACTAATTGTTTGAAATTGCGCCACCTCTTGTTCATGCTCCCGTAAACCGCAAACCATTGTGCTGTGTAGAACTATCTTCTCTTGCTCTGCCCACTGACGTTCAATGGTTACCTATTAATTATACCCATTGACAGATTGCTGTGTAAAAAATCAAATGTACTCATTTCGACGCGAGTGATTTTAAATCTTAAATACACTAGGTCGCTACAAGCCAATGCGGCGGACGTTAAAACTGAGTAACTTTTGAACTAGTTGGGCTGGAACGATTTTTAATATGTTTTAGAAAAACTATTTTTTACACATTTGTCCCGGTGGTTAAGCAGTTTCTGAACGGCCACACAACTACCATTCACGTCCCTATATGTAATCTTCTCGGGATAAATCAATAGCGGGATATGTTTGCTTACCAGTTGCCCTTTTTAGTATATTTTAAACGAGTTTATCGTTGATTAAAGTTCCGTAGATTTCATAAGGATCACACTACATGCAATCTACGGGGAAACCATTTTTTATTCAGTTTCCACATTGTTAGTATTTGGGTTACAATTCTATAATATGTTACATACAAAATGTCAGTCTTCATATTCCAATCTGCTTTTGTGGAAACCCTCCTCGATTTCAGCAATGTGTTTTTATCCTTCATGTCCCGAAATGTGGTTAGCTTCTCACTGGTCTTTAACACTTCAATGTCTGCACCAATCATATATAGTGCTTTTGCTTGAGGCCCTCCTTTCCTAATATCTTCACCAACCATTGGTAAATTCCCTCAGTGCTGTAGGCGTTGAGGAATAAAAGCTTCATCACTGAGCATTGATTTTAGAAATTAATAGATATTTTTTCTTTTAAACTTATTCTTCCTAAAGTAAGCTTAACAGGTTATCGCTCACACCTTTCCAAAATAATGGAGAGTTAACCAGCCAAATTTGTCGGCTAGCATCGATATACTTCACTCTTTCTATTTTAAGCTTAACTTAGCTTCACGACGTACATATATAGCACTGGGTCTAAGCTGATGACCCCCTGAACTCGCGGTTATTACCCAGATATCATTAAGCCCTGATCAACGGAATCAATGGTTCATGAAATCAATGGAAGTTCAGTATCAGAAGTGAGACTGCAGTATTGCAACACTCTGGGACCACCGTCATACCTGATCATCATTTTTGTAGATGTACTTCCTTCCGACAAGCGGCTTACACGTAATCAGTAGCTTCTGATTTCCTTCGCCTGTATCGATACCCCACCGAATGCGAAGTTTGGATTGCAGATTTTCGACCTTGCGAGCACAATCTTTCTCCTAAAAAATGTAGATGATACACGATTACACTCGATTGTTGTTATATGATCACAAGAAAGAAATTATATTTAAGCCAACAAATAAGTCATCAGAGAGAAGATTAGTCATACTGTCATGCACAGCGAAGCAGGAAAGCTCCCTGTGTCCAAGTCTACGTAACTTTCATCATTGTTTTTAGATAGAAAACCTCAAATTAGCCACGACTTAAGCAAGTGACAGACTTCAATAGAAGAAACATTTTCACTAGTGGGATCATAGAGTTACCGAGACACCTTCTTCGTATTGACCTACACCATTCGATGAAATAAGAAATTGTGTAAGAATCACGGCCTCAATGAAGGAAATGGAACTGAAAGGGACTTTGCTTTTCAGATCTATCTGACCCATCTGACCTGAACAAAAAAATCGCAAGTAATAAGTCAACGACAAACTCATTTGGATTGATTCGTTCCAATTGTTTTTGATTCGAAGTCGAAATAATACATCTCGTTTATAGCCTAAAGGTAGCCGTGTAATGCTAAGACTCTGCTTATGCATTAGATGTCAAACAAAAGTCCAGTTCGGTCAGCAACATATTAAAACAAGCTCTGAGATACCTGGCATACGATGACCTGTTCCCTTTACAAATACAAACAGGTAACTTGCTCAAAGAATACAGAAAGCAAACTACCCTTTAGCTCGAATACCTTAAGCTTGCGCAACAGCTGCTCGAAACCTCGACCTTTCGCGATAACACAGACCTAAGGCTCGCAATAATATGTAGCACTCGTTTTCAAATATATAATTTCGGACCTTTCCTGAAATACTACTGCAATACGCTTCAGAGATAAGAGAAATTTTGTCGGGTTCGTGTGTGATGATAATTAACAAATTTAGATAAAGCAACAGGTTCTTGACAAAACCAGTGATAATATAGGAAACTTCATACCTAAACGGCTGGATTATAAAAAAAGCTATTGGCCACGGTATTACGACGCAAATGTACAATGAGTAAATTTATTTTAAAAAGTATAAATGTATCTAGTGTGCTCAATAATGTTTGCCGTAATTGGCAAGTTACGGCTATCAAAGACACGTGATTATGAGCTATGTAGCGTGAAAGCCAGTTTCTGGAATAAAGTGCAATTCGACCACACGTTCCTAGACTTTTCTTCTAGTAGCAACCATTTTGAAGAACCTAACCTAATTTAATCCAATTGATTTGCAGCAGAATGTCCACTAGTATCGAAAAAAAGATATGGTATTATACCAAAAAGCTTATTTTCAAGGCTTTGGTAGCCTAAATAAGCACTTTAATAACACCCAATGAAAGGATAGAGTGTTGACTTTACAAATACGATTTTCAATCTAAGTCTATTCCAAATTCTAAAAATCAGACAAGACGAACTGGATGTCAGTTAAAACATGCTTTTGAACCATATTATTGCAAACCTCTAATTAACCAACGGTAAAGAGTGTGGTCTGCCATACACCAAACCAATGACTATAGATGCGCGGTAACATTATAATCTCGAAAATTCAACCTTGACCTTGTAATAAACTATATAATAGCTAAGTGTTTCTATTTGTCCAAAAGTACTGACGTTGACTTACTTCAGTCTCGCTAAGTAAGCTTTTTCCTTCGGCACTGTAGACTGTCTTGCCGTCACTTATCTTCGTAACAAGCGCCTGCCGAAGGTGTGGGTAGTCAATATGGACGATTTTTCCCACCAACTTCGCGTATCTGAAATGAAATAGTAAGTGGAATAGTTCGTCCATTGTTTCCTATTCAAATCCTGCTTTATCCATTGTTTACGAACTTCGAGCTAATGCTCGTTCGTGCTCTTCCATGCAAGTCGTACAGTGGAATCGACACATTAAGCTGTCCGAAGCACTTCCCTTATCAGAGCTAGGTTTACCGTGCCTACCGCTAGTTTGTAGGCAATTCTAACCAATCAGAGAAACTTTTTAGTCTCTTCTTTTTTTTTTTAGTTTATAAGCTCTAATTAAGAAAAAAACAAACAGCAGATACCTGGTGATATCGGTACTATGATTTGTAACGTCAATTATCATATTATAATCTCTCGACGGCTGCTGAAACACGGTGCATCCTTCCTTTACCAGGCGGGTTTTGTGCTGGATATACCGAAGGGAGGGAAAACCCGGAAAGTATAGGCTGTCCTTTGTGTTTGCTAAACGACCTAATGACACACACACGTCCATACGCAATTATCATAAGCTTAAAAACTATTCAGTACATAAAACGACGTAGTCACATCGAATAGTTTAATAAATTCTATTTTTAGGTTTTAAGAGGACTTGGAAACAATTTGTATGCTAATTACCGATTCAGATATTTATGTAACATCTGTTTAGGAGATTTATGAAGAAAAACTAGTACCTTTTTTAATGGTGTGCTTTTGTATGCGAAACGTGTCATTGGGTACTTCGGTGCACTTTGCGTGCGATATCTTTATGTGCGGAAAGCACTTGTGTTTTGGAGACGGAAACGATTTTTGCCTTTTTGGGCTGTATTCGAATAACATATGCGGTCCGTGCTGGTTGCGAGACTTCTCTCTTTCTGAAAGCCTTCACAATAACAGACGCCTTTAATTTAATCTTAATTAATTTTTTTTTAATAATATTGTGCGCTATTTGAATTGCATCGTATTACACAAAATTAATCAATCATAAAAGCCAAAAAAACCTTAGAACAGCAAATGGAATAAATAATGTAAATGCTCACAATTTTTCTTCACAGAAACGATAGTAGCAAATTACATCAGTAGATTCTTACAACCAAGATTCGTAAATGAAATTGTAACTCTTGTTTTCAAACTAGTAAAAGAAAAAGCATGACTGAATGTTTTATCAATGCCGTTTATGAACATTCAAGGCAAGCAAACTGATCGGAGTCTTACCTATTGTCATATGCCGCCATAGAATTAAGCAGAATGTCTTCTTCGATATATTTGATCAACACGACTGCTTCCCATTGTTGTGTTTTACCGTTGAGATCCGTCTCGAAAGTGTCGGGGAAATATTCCCGTAATGGTGAATCAGGATTGAGCATCAAACCTCTATCGGTGTATGGCAGAGATCAAAATCGAATGTGATTTATTAAAAGCTGCATTCAAGGGCACTTTAACCGCCTTTAAGTAAAGAGGCAGAAGGCAAACGCTAACGCTGTCTTAAACAGAATATTCACATCGGTTCGCTATAAATTGGCTCCTTTAGGAGGAATAATTTTCAGAATAGATATTTATTGATTAGTCTCTAGTGCATGAGCTTCGAGTTTAAGGATATATTATATATGCGAATCGATAAAATAAAGCACATGACGTTTAAAAATAGAAATTTCTAGATAGATAAACTTCACATGTATCAAGATTTCATGTTTAGAATTATGCGCAAATTTACTAAATGGAGTTCTGAAAAATGCTACTAATGACACGAAAATAATCAAAAAGTGGCCGCAAATTATTTAAAGTGTACAAACCTGTACGCCTGCGGGACTAACGCGCTTGATGCGGCAGGCATGATGGACACAAGCTGTTGAAAAGGCAGAAATGGCTTACCCATTTCAAAGCCAAGCTTAAGATCGCCAAAATCCTTGATGTCTGAGATGTACGGAGAATAATGATAGGGGTAATACCTGGAATGGGCGTTGCGAACCAGTAAGCCACTTATTCGCACATCATTTTCGAGGTTAAAAACTGAAATCAATGTACCGTCGCTTACCAGCTCCAACTCTGTACACCATTATAATAATAGTGAAGATTCCACTGAACAGCTCGAATATAACATTCTGTCTGCTCGCGAAGTTCCTTTTCTGTCACCTGAAACAGAATCCTTAAATCTTAGATACTTACAGAGCAGGCCACCAACAGAAACATGTTTCTAGGAACTCACTCACATATCATTCGCACTTTATTTTTGTCAACCTATTGAAGTTTGCTGCTCGTCGAATTCAAGAACCGCAGCTTTTCTTCAGTGTATTAATATACCGTATACCGAATAGAAGAGAACGTAAGCCTTTTCCAAAGTAAAGATCACTAGCCTCACTGTAGCCCATTTTCGTCATGTAGTAGTGTCGCTTATGTTGGAGAAATTCTTCTTGCGAGGTGTCGTCACTTGATAGTTCATCGCTGTCGGAGACAGGAATGTCGAGATTTGGGAATTTCGTTCTGACCTGTAAAATTAAGATATTAACTGTGTCGTCAAAACTTGCGCTTTGTGGAGGATATCGACCGCTCCGAATCTGACTCGCTGTTTACTCTAGGGTATTTTGCCATTTGTTATATCTAGTAGGAAAATGCAAATAGAGTTCCATGAAAACTCTAGAATATAACCTAGAATAGGACAGTTGAAAAAGTTGTTGCATAGTAAAGCGTCATAAATAGGCTGTTTTAGCATTACTGAAAATATACTCACCGCATCCAGCGTTTCTTTGCTCACTTTGCCTTTAAGATATCTTTGACCTGTCTTTTGGTTTTTGAATAATTCTATATCGCGTTCACCCAACTTGCGCATGAATACCTGAAAATTTAAATGATCGCAAACGATTATAATTTAAGGCAACACGTAAGGTTTTCTTGCAAAAGTTTACTACAGCAATTCTTTTTGAATATTAAAAAGACCATGACGTGCCAACTTCGTTCCTATTTTTCTATTGTTATGCACCTTGAACATCTGAATTTCAATCTAATCTTCTTAGCCGTTTAGCCTGATGTACGTTCCATGTCTTCTTAACGAAGATCGTTCTGTTTGTAGTTCAAAATGTGTGAACGTGCACATTTCAAAACAATTTCCGTATAATCATGTGACGTGGAACAGAAATGTGGGTATACTAATGTGCGGATAAATATTACAAGATTTGAAAGTTAAAGTTCGTTGCAATATTGTAAGTACACACCTCGAAGTTCCTCAAGTTTAGCTGCCCTCTGTCATGAAGGTACCCATCAAGATCCGGCATAACATCACAATAAGTTTGATGCAAAATCGGTAGAGCGTCATGAGCAATGTGTAGATTTGGCAAATGCGGCAGAAAATCGTTACCTGGTTTGGGAAGGAGTCGAAAGGTGACTACATCAATCGACAATGCGGCGATTCTCTCAATTTCAATATTTCTATAGCTCTATAGAGAGCAACAATTAACGCACAATTGAAACGGGTATTTTCATTTTTTATTTACGGAGAATACATCTTACCGACTAAAAAACACATGAGAAGCCAGTCGTCGATAATATTCTCAAGGTTGTAACCCTGCTTTAAAATTCCTGGTTCCTTCAGCTGAGCAAATTCGTGATCTAGGTATTCCCGAAGGAGACTTATGTGCAATATGTGAAATGTCACTTTATCCGCGCTCTGTATACGCTTCTCAGTTCGTTTACCTATGTAAGCAAAAAAAGATCCAAAAATATATCACAAACAATTTAATAGAAACAGCAACTATATCTGAGTAGAATTCGAACGAAAGCTGGAGAACTAATGGCCTCAGCGAAGTCTGCTACGTTATCCGTTACGTTATGACAACGGTCCCGAGTTCTACCGCGGTACAGAGAAGTTTACTTACCAAAAACCACTTCCTCTCGAAGTAGCGCAATATGTGGCTCATGAGTGCAGAGTGCTAGCATGATCAAATCGGCATCTTGTCCATAAATGCAGTGACGAGTATTCGGATCGTAACTATAGTTGATCAGCACCAATAGAAGCATTGTATCAGTAACACAAGTCCTCACATTATAATACCGTATGGATAACAAACGCAGTGCATTCAATTTGATAACGTCTCCTTACAAAAATGACATTTTTCTCTCTCTACGAATAAAAATCCAATTTCAAATTGTGAACCGCTGTCCATCATGTAATGTAAACTTGTAAAATGTAGGTAGATCGTGCGCCACAGATCCAAATAATTTAATAAGAACACGTACCCTTCTTGTGACCTGACGTATCTGATAAAGTCCATGGCTTTGTGCTCCCCTTCACCAGGCGCGTTGTGTCCGCTTAGGTAAACCTTTAGACCTTCTACTTGCCACACTGCATCTTCCGAGAGCTTTTTTACGACAAAATATTTCAGCTTGTCGTGAAGCCTCTCCATGAACTCCGTTCCTGGCGAGATGCAATTAGAGTCAAAACGGCTCTCTGTCGGCAATATTTCACCCTTCTCTTTGGCCTCTTTTTCCATTTCTTCCGCCTCCTTCGCCGCTCTGAAAATCGACGGATTACAACGGGCCGTTATCTAGATGTCCTACGTCCGAACCTCAGTATAGTCTGAATTGCCTAAGAGCAACAAAATTTCAATTGATGAACAAGAACAGTTTGGTTCATAAAAGTCCACTTTCGTAAGCAATTTAGTCATCACTAGTGCTGAGGCTGTATTCAAAAAGAACTGACAGGTAAAAAAATATATCACAAATAAAGCTATTTAATTGTGACACTATGTTTTTTTGCAATATATTAGAGATAGTAGACCTGAAACGACGATCTCTTTGCTGGTTCATTTTAGCGCGTGGTGCGACACCATCGATGGCCATAAAAAAGCATTTTCTCGGTTTAACCATCCTATAAAGACGCAAATATGTAGTCAGTAAGTAATCTTTTGGCAACAATCAAACAAAATCGCTAAAAATAACTGTTTGCAAAATTATTCTTTTGTCAAATATATATACAAACAAGTACGTTTGTAAAAAAAAAATTAAAACGCATCAAATTAATTCATTCAATCAAATTAGTTAATAGATAATTCGCCCTTGTTCTAACTCACCTAAAGATGAAATCGATGTAATCGAAAATATTCTTGAAGATTTCTTCTTCAGAGATACGGAAATGAGCATCCGTGTCATTTGGATGTGAGCACAAATGAATAATTCCATTCATGTCGAGGTAGAGATTGTCGAAATCGGGTAACTGCAACACAAAAAGAATGGAACTATCTCAGTGAACTTTAGCCTGTCTTGTGCGTCTTCAAATAAATATTTCTCACGTTTATAGGTTTCATTAATAGATTTCGAGGAATCTGGGAAAGAGGTAAAGTGCACTGTTTTTAAAATAAGGCACATTCTAAATAAAATATGGTGACTATTATGTATTCCGGTTGATGCGGTGCCTTAGATGATCAACCCCTGGTAGAACAAAAATAGATGTCGCTCATACGAGCGAACAAAAAAAAAGTTACTATCATTATGCATTTAAAAACGTTCGAGAAGTTACTATAGAATAAAACACCTAATGCTAACGTTTTTATAATTTATCGTACATTTAGTTTGTCAGTTAACATTGCAGAAAATTCTATCGACAAATCAATCACGGATCAAAACCAAAAACATCGCAAGCAAAGTTAGTATATTATCTAATCTCCAATGCAATTTTAACTTAATTTTTTTAATTTTAATTTGTAGATATAAGTATAAATCTATCTCAATCTATTGTAGCTTCTTAGCGGAAAACACCCTTATTACTAAATACTTTCTACTTATATTTATTAGATAAAGTACACATATGTATTCAGTCGAATAGACAAACAATAAAAACGATATAGCAAAATTAAATTTTACCGTCATCTTGTGTCGTTATACGTGGGCTAAACATATGATGCAGATTTTAGCTCTGTCATTCCACCTATATTTATTCAAAACCCCACAATAAGATGTGCTTTTTGCGAAAGTTTTGATAATAATTAAACGCGGCACCATTTCCTCGTCAACTCCGATATGAGAAGTGGCTACAATAGAAGTGGCCTTTTTTTCTATTTCCACGTATAGATCAGCTCTCTTGGCCGTCGAAAAGTCTGCGTCATAAATGACTAATCCGGACATTATACGAGTAATCCTTGCCGCTTCCTAAAAAGCAGTTTAATAGAACCTTCACTATCAATCGATTTTCTATGACAATGACTTTTATGATATGATATATGGTTATTTAATGATGTGCCCTTTTTGCCCAAAGATTGCCATTATGGACACCTAAAGATCATAAAGACGCTTTACAGACCCTTATTATCTGTAAAATGTCTTAACAATTCAAGGAAGAGTTTCAGCCAACCAACGAATATTTTATACGCACGAAAAATTTCTAGCCATAGTTTCTGCGAGTAAGATAAATACTGCTCTTGCAATGTATGTCAGAACATAAATACTTGTATATACAACCACACACTCATAAACACACACCTGATATTCTCGAGCCACTGTTGACAGGCAGGGATATCTCTCAGATATCCAACGATAAAATTTGGGAACCCCCATGTTGATGCCGGCCGCAGTCAATGTCAATCGAACACAATTCCCTGCTGCACACAACCAGTTGCTCAATATATAATTTTGATGTGATTCGTTGCCAGACAAATGACCAATGTTGTGATAGCTCGTCCGATGTATTCCGCAAATTCGATAAACGCATCTGCCAGAATCCGCCGTTCAGCGGGCGGTTTGTTGGTGGTCGCCACGAGCGCGAGTGAAGTCGTTTGGCGGAACTGGGTTCCATCGAAAGACATTATTTTCAGAGACTAAACCTTGTGGGTTTTTCGAAAATCTGCTGAAGTCAATTAGCCTATACGTATAGTATATATATGCGCAGTATCTGCGACATAGATGTTCTAGTATAGGAAATACTCCACTAATGTAATGACGTTCATAAAACTTCCTCCGCTATTCTATCGCACCTAAGGGTTAGAGATAAAAATGGGTTATTGTTTCTAAGCTTTAGATATGCCTCAGGTCGAAAGTTGATGGTTTGCATTAAAACTAACGATTCACGAGCTAACATCCATTCTAAAATAACCCTCTTGTAGATACCGTGTGTATCTACCAGGCTTATTTCAAGTGATTTAATTACCTAGGTGTGACCAAGAGACATTCAAATATTTTTACATTTCTGGCAGTACATTGCATCGCGCCAGGTCCGTCAAAGCGGTTAGTTAGTAGACGGGCGGCAAATGCTAGAATAAGAACGAACGTTACCTGAACAGATGACAAAATTATGTTTTTCTATCCTATATAAGTTAATGAGAATTATTACGGCGCTTTTTTGATTTGCAATTGAAAATCGTTTTTATTTGCCAAACTTTAGCATAAAGTGTTCCGTTCCACATTTCAGCCTGCTCGCCTCCCGGGAATCTCGTCAGCAACAGTGGCCATAAGCGTAAAATAGAACAAGGTGACCTCATCGCTTTTATATGAGCCTCTGTACTTGGCCAGGGTACGGGGCTCCTATGGTAACGATACAGGGAACTGCCTAACCTATAATAACATATATACTTCTTTAGCAAATGTTGAGCAAAGTACATCTAGAAATTGGACAGATTAACCAAAGCGTTGACGCGTCGCTGTTGCAAGGCCACTACAGCACACGTTTAATTACACAGATACAACCTTTAGGACTAATGAATAATGGTTTAACAATCACACAATTAATTTAATTTTATATTTTATTGTGCATATTCGACCAGTCGAAATAGTTTTATTTTCGAATGAGTCGTTCACCTTCGCGATACCACAAGACAGCTATTTTGCTTGAAGCGGATTATAGAAAACATTATTCCGCTAATGAATTTTTTGGGCCGTTAGACCGTCGACAAGAAGATACCTCAGACGTATTTTTCACTGATCTCGGTTACTCGTAACCAGTGCTCTTCGGGCTTGCCGATTACAATGGTGAATAAATGAGCCGGTAATATTGACAATGAATTCTGTACCTGTAATTTAAACGACAATTTTAATCTATAAATGAATCGCTATTATACAACTGGTTATCACGTCAAATTTAGTTTGGTAAACATGGATACAAATCTTAAGCTCGAGCGCATTAATCAATAAGGCTTGATTTTTTCCAAACTTCTAGGGATCGAGTCTGGACTCTAGTTCCGTAGGGCGTTGCTATCGAAATGTTCAGATAGAGTTTTTGTTAAAAGAAAAAAAAAAAAAAAAATATATATATATATATATATATATTTTTTTTTTTTTTTTCTCTACAGGCTCACAAACTATGTTTTTATTTACATTTAAGCTGACTGACGACGATACCATCCTCGCATTAAGTAACATTTGAGTGGATCCACCGAGCAGTCAAATCGCACCAGGTTTTACCTCTCAAGAAAGATTTCGTAGTCTGCCAGTGAATATCATTGACCATAAGCGTGGCACGGCCGTACGCGTACGGTAAAATGATTAGAACTCGTTTTATGATTACTGGATATCAATGGGCTAGCTAGACGTAACGAGCAATAGATGTAATAGTACGCGCCTGCATAGCTCCTTCAAGCCGCACTCCATTAATGTCGACAAATGCAGCTACTTTGTCCAGGTCTCTTTGTAGCGTCATCTGAAAGCTTCGATCAGTTACCGGTGAGGGGAGCGACTTCTCATCCACGCTGACCAACAACTCCTGCGAACCCAAGCTCTGGCGGTGGAGCAGGCCAAGTCCTGCCAGGGTCCCGTTTGCTACGACCAGTTGTATCTATTCAGTAATATTATTAAGGTTGTGAAAGTTTAACAGGAAAACGAGTGCGATTCGTATTTACTACCATGTGGTTCGCAATACTCGACTGTTGTTTATTCTACCGAAAAATTGATTTCCACGTACTTCCAGACCTATTTAACTGGACTAACTGGGTGGATTTTATTGCATAAGAATGAATTGGGAAAAGGGGCAAATCTTCTATGGCGAAATTTACCTTCGCAAGATAGGGCTCGTCGAACAATAGTCTGAACGAAGAGTAGTTCGTGAGTAGTGTCGCTTCGACCTCAATCGGTGAAGGTAAAGTGATAACCGCAATTTCTCCTTTGATTTGCAGCTGGTATCGGTCACCAGGAGGCACCTGAAGGGGAGTCATTCCCCAGATGGCATCACGACGTTGGAACTTTGACAAAGGTGGTCCAAACGCGAGTGGGTGAGGACTGCCAGTAACAAAAATGGTTACTATCTGATTCTTGAACATTAATCAATACACGTTCTACCTACAGAAAAGTGGTGAAAGGTGACGTAAGGAAAACACATTTGGAAGCTGCATTTCAAAGGCTGTGCAACACCTACCGAAAATAACATTGTATGACTTAGCGCGCAATGCAGATGTATCTGCATGAGTATCCATTACTGACTCAAATCTTATAGTTAGTACTAGTGTATTTTGAACAACAATGTCACACATAAGTTAAAATGATTTTTTTTTTAAATAATGATATGCTATGACCTTTCAATACGTGAAGCGTGGTTTATCGTATTAATTCTATTAGTAAAACTTGTTGGACAAATTTTCCAGGACATCCGTAGCGAACGATGGGCTCTATAATAATTCTCCAAAGACAAACGCGGGCTGACCGAATAGCTTCTTTCGGGTGCGTGTACTTGTTTGAAGTGGCCGTTATCTTGACTTGGCTTGGGGTTGCATCCCTTGCGACGGCCTCAGAGAGTACGACTTTATCGAAATCAAATTTTCTAGGCAGCGTTTCTCTCCAGTGTAGCTGATTGTCGATAAACAGCAACAGATCACGCTCCTCCTGTGTCATATCGAACATTTATACGTTTCTTTATTTGGTCACACCTGCCGTATATTATATGTCGTTGGGAGATAGAATACAATTGTGGATAAATGTCAGTTTTCTATACGCTATACGACAACACCCACAAAGGTTGCCGAGCTAATTAAATTTAGCATAGTGAAAAAGAGCAACTCTTTATTGATTCAAGCGTGCATTGTCGCTTCGTCTACTCTAGGTAAAAACATTTTCATCGTCTAGATATTTTTATTCAGGTTCCGAGTTAAACTCTAATAATAAAGAAATTAACATACTTCTCCGTAAAAGCTGGGAGCCAGCTGAATCCGTATGTTTATTTTGTCCTGGTCATCTCGAATCGGTAGATTCGGCAAGGCAGGTCCAGCATTGCGTTTTGTTATTGCTTCTTCGGCTAAATGGGTTTCATTGCTTAAATGGCATTAAGGTTAACAATGACAAAGTTAAGCAACGTCACACGTACCAAACTATAAGAGCAATTATTATTACTGGCTAAGTTACCTATTCCGAGCCTTTTATATGATTACTTTGACCCTGGAGTGTGCGTATAATTTCAGGAATAATTCAGGAAACGTGCTTCCTGAATTATTCTAATTGAATGTCTCAACAGTCAGACCCTTTTACTTTCATATAGTCGTAGATGACTAGCAAAGAGGATGTTCTTCATTGACCTGTCTATAAAGTGTCATGGAGTGACCCTATAGCGTTGCAAGGCAACAATAATATTACTTGAAAGGCGTACTTTTTTTTTTCTTATACACAAACTAAAGTAATTTTTGGCTAATTATTTTTATCGTATGGAAAAAGACAGAAATAGTCAGCAATGTATTACTGACTCTTGCCAATCGATGCCTATAGCTGGACCATTTTTGTTATTAGCCTCGGCATGCTTTCTACGCTACAGTACATTGAAACTCGATTAGGATATGAAGTGCAGCACTGGCGAAACTCAGGCCAATACAAAAACAACAAACTTTTGTTTGAATCGGTTCAGGTTCTTTTACTTTACATATAGAAACGTCCTTGAGCAGAATAAATAAATAATAATGAATAAGTAAATATAAACTAAGTCTGTTCCCGCAATTATGCGTTGATAATATATTTGCCTGTTAGACGTAGAAACCGATGAAAACGCTTTATTTGATGACACGCTAGGGGCCAATAGTTTAAGGTAATGTATAATTAATAATTCGCTTAAAGCAAAACTTAACAGCAGTAGCCAACATAGAATTCCATGCGCCTAGATGATCCAGATCTCATGACACATCTGCTCCAGTAATTACTGTTATGTTTGTTTCTCCCAACTTTTTAACAAATTTTGGTTAGTAAAAGCCATTTGGTATATGTAGTAGTCGGTAGTTGGCGAACTTGTTGAAGTTGCATCCAAAAGGGTCTGCCTTAACCAAAGAATCAAAATGATAATGATCTGTCATAGAAAAATATCGACCTTACATTTAAGACTTTGCTTTCTTCTCCATATATTACAATTAAAGCGCTACTTTATCTTAGCTTACTTACTTTATCTTTAGTAAATTAGCTTCATTGAATCAAAAACAGGTGATTTTGTTAGGTCAGATTAGGTTACATCAGCTGGGTCGCACTTAGAAAAGTACTGGAAGTTTTTGCGTATATAAGATTTGTGTGCTCCAACGGATGATTAAGCATATAACTAATTGTTACCATGTTTAATGTTTACCTCGACCACATGTCAATGATTTCGCGTCCTTCGTAGTCAACATCACCCCAGGGAAATGCTCGAAGGTTTATTTTCGTAATTTCGCGCTCCATAAAATCTATGTCGAAGAAGAGTGAACCCCGTATCTCACCCTGAAAATTGTATTCATTTTTACGCGAAGGGATATCGAGTGCGAATCGACGTCTCGCCAGACCAGTTTCATTGCCAGGGCGGTAGGCGGATGATGGCACAGGTAGAGAAGCTAAGAGGCTTACATACGTTGCAGTTGTTACGAGCAGCTTAAGTTTCCACCTGTTCGAGTGATATGGCACACAGTGTAGGATAGTGGTACAATAAATTGTTGCCAGTCCTAAATGGTAATAAAGGCGAACCCCAAGAAACAGTAAATAACCTGGCTTGGTTTTGCATGTTATCTCATAGTATATCTAACCATAACAAGCGACGCAACCGTTCGACCCGATCATTGCATAATAACAAACCAATGGAGTTAATTAGAGTAGAACCTAGTCAGTTTAAAAAGGTAGGATACATAAGCAATATTAAGTGTAGTCTTCTAAGATTACATATGTTGCCTAGTTATAGTGGCATTTTAGAGAACCAAAAAATATTTGCCGACATAACCAAAGCCAATTGAGTAACTTGGACCTCTTGTAGCCGCACGCAGCTTAAATTAGATGTTTTGACAGCAAGCGTATCCGTGAAAAACATCGTTTTCGTTAATTGGTGAAATCATAAGAAGCATGAGCGTACAGAGGTGCCAAGACACTTCGACTCACTAAACTTAATAACAAATTTTTATTTTTCTAAAGTCAGTTATGAATTCAACTGTACGTTTTACTCCTAAAAGCCAACTCAAGGCAGGAAAGTTGGTACACGACACCGTGAATAACAATAATCACCAAGTCAGATCGAAAAACCGTTCTTCTAGGGGTTAAAAAGCGTTCGTCAGTTGACAATGTTTTACATAAAGGCGAACGTTAGGCCGTTTCGCACAATAGTAGATATGCGATAACGGCAAGGTCAAACTTCCATTGTAGTGCGTTAGATTAAATGTATTCTACTTTATTCTGACCCCCTTTTAACACTTTTATTCTTTGTTTAAAACATTTGAGTTCAGATAAATATGCTTAGAAAGAAGATCCAGGCTAGCGAAAGGAAGGCCAGCTCATGTCTCATGAATTAGCTTTAAAGTCTGCCATAAAAATCACACACTTCATACATAATGATCGTGGGCATTAGAAGAACTACATACACATTCCATGGCGGTTCTTACAGAAAACTAACATCATGCAATATGTCTTCAGGTTCAACGCAGTCATAAATACTGGATAGTAAATAATAATTGTTAGACTACTTCACAACAAATAGCAAATATTCGTACGCGGGATTCCTTAACTATTACTACTTTGTTCAACACCTCTTATTATAACTTTACCCGTTCAAAAGTCAAGCTTAAATGCTATCAGTGTACGAACGACGTTAATTTCCGATCAGCAACACTGTCAACAAAGGCTGATTCTTGCTCGTTCAGCCTCTTTCTCAAATATTATCAAACAACTAAGCAAAAATTAGTCAGTCGGCAGTCATTATCGAGCTAGTCTTGCTACGAACGAGTTGATCTCAGGTGCCATTGCTGCTACGACTACTGTAAAAGTTAACGTTGCTCTAGGACAGCATACAGCTGTAGGGCGTACCTTGTTGCTATTTGTTGGTTCATGATGGATCGAAAGCGTTCTTCGTTTCACTTTGATCGGGTTACGTTTCGTCCAGAACGTCAAGAAGCGAGCACTTGACGCTGATGGTTAGATGTAATGATAGAAATAACGGTGCCTCGTCTACGGTCTGTCCGCCTGACGCAAATGACATCGGTACGTGTGTCAAGGTAAGAGAGTTGCTTCTGCGCGAATGCACCGAAAATGGCGAGCGGGGCCCGCGGCAGCTCGCTTCTGTGAGCTACAGCTTGCCATTCATTTAGCGATGTCGGTGTGTCAATGCGAACGGTAACCGAGTGGGCTACGTCCGACACAATTAGGCTGTGTTATACTGTGTGATCTGCCTGCGGGAGCGGGCTTCAACCAAGAAAATGAATTTGTGTACACTATTTAAATTAAGCAGGACCTCTAAAGGAGCCATTTACACAGTTTTAATCAATGACTTCAATCAAAGTACATGTTTGTTCTGATCCAGCAACGAGCTTAAAAAGCGGACGGCTCACTTCCAATGCTCAGCAGAAACACAAATGTGTTCCCTTTCCGTAGGATCGATAAAGACGCATTTAAAGCGCCTTAAATCAATATACTTAAACCGTACAGGTGCACTGATAATATAGAGATTAGATCTTTTTAAGATTGGAAGATTTCTTTTCGAATAGATGAAGATCTAGTTAGACCTTAAATTCTTTCTCTAGTCTATCTAAATGGAGAGACCTTTTTTATCGTACGGGATTCGGGAGAAAATATCCTAAAGAGCCCATAACAAAAAATTATAAATTATTTTTTTAATATAACTTTAATGAAATGCTGGTTCTGTTAGTTAAATTAACAGAGAACACCCGTGCAGCAACGTAGCAGATGAATGCGCCTAAATGAGCGTGGAGTTTCGTGCTAGTTCTGAAGACATGTGAAGCATGCAAATGTGACTGTGGAAGCTTCGTGCAGTTTTTTTTAACCCTCCTTAGCGAAAATGTAAGCTTTTTTTTTTTTTTTTATTCTAAGTATGTTACAACTGCTTTAAATGATGAATAGTATTGATTAATTTCAATAATAGAAACTATCTATATATAAATAAGCATTTCAGAATATCTCTCTTTTCTAATTTTGAAAAAGCTTTTCCTCAGTATGACCTTCGCAAGATAACACTTATTTATATTTGATTCAGCAATCGATGTGTTTAAGATATACACAGCTTAACAATCTTAAGCGGAATCAGCAGCTTGTTCAGCACAGTAAATGCATGCCGTGAATTTACTTAATCGGTTATCAGTTTAAAATCTTGCTCATGTCGATTTTGATCTTTGTTGAATCGCTTTTCACAAAACATAATCAAATAGCTATTAGTGACAAAGAAACGTTCGCGCCATATCACGCTAATGTGAAATACGCTAATAAATATTAAGCGAATGCAGTTGACATATTTTCATAGTTATTAGAAAAGACCACGGAAACTTTAGCAATCATCCGTTGGAAAATGCAGTTACAATTTGGTTCACTAATACTGTATATATCCTGGACTAAGTAAAAGCAGAAAAACAAGATGAAAAGGTGCTAAACTTCTCTTCTTTAGTATCAGCTTCACTTCGTAATGCATAGAGTAGCTTTTTGGCGTTCTCCAAGGAACAGCCGGCTCTCCTGACCGAACTGTGCGTTGTATTGCTATTGAGTGGATATTTATTAAGTGTTCACTATTAACCTATATTTAGCCGAATATATAGGTGTTTCTGTTTGTTTGAAGCAGACACGAATACTTGCTTTTTTTTTTTTTTTTTTTTTGATGAATTTGAAGAGACACCTAGAGTTCACCCGATAGTAAGAGGAAATGAAGAAAAGCGAAGTTCTAGTAATATTCGTTTTTATCGCGGTTTATCTACGATTGTGAGCATTTCTCATAATAATGACGGTAATAACTACAATTTGTACTAATGTCGTTGCCTTTTAGTGGGACGATCAAAACATGCACTTTAATACACGAAAATTGCCGTTCTCATGATCGAGGCTATTTGATTCCAGTAATGACTAACTGATTTATTACCTTAAATATGTGTATTCGATCATGAAGGGTGCCTTAGAAGTTGGCGGCTTTTTCGGCTGTATCGATAAACAAGCATGGCTTGGCAGATCAGTAAGCATAACAGCAGCTCCTACAGTTCGTGATCATGGAACGCTATAATACGGAACAGCGTTTACTCTTCGTAAAAACGTATTACCGATATTGGGAGTCGATTACGCTAGCACTCCGCAAGTGTCGCATAAAATACGAACAACATCTTTCGTTGGCGCGGGAAACACTGAAGCTATTGGTTAAAAAATTTCAAGGACCAGCTCACTGGCAGATAGAGTGAGGCCAGGGAGACCACGTATTGAAAGAATAAGTCGGTAAAATTGCCGTAGCACAGCGAAGTGTCGATGTCGAGCTAGCGATTTCAACACAACGTCGTGCCCAATAGCTCAGCCTATCGACGAGTACTCTGCGACCCATTTTCAAGGAAAAGTTACATTTTCACCCAGACAAAGTACAATTTATTTTATAATTAGGCCAAGCACCAAAGAAATGTACTATGAACTATGCAGAGCGGTCATTCAAAATATTACAGTTAATATTATTATTATGGTCATTGTTAGTGTACATGTTTGTGCAGCACCTGCCTGTACAGCAACCTGTCATTCGACAATAAGATTTAACTGGATAAATTCGTTTTCATTATTGATAGCATAGGGTAGACCAAAGCCTGTGATCTCTTTTGGTTTTTCTCCTCCGTATTTACAAGGAAGCGAGAGCTCTGAGCGATAAACATAGCAGCCACGTTTGCCAATATTCAATGAGAGCAAATTACAGTTTGTAACAATGATTATTTTTCATCGAATATACAGTGCGATCTCTCTCTCTCCCCGCGTGTTTGTAAACAACTGAGCGTTATCGAGCAGACTGTCGGGTTGTAAACATAGCAGTAGTGAGTGCGGTTTGTGATGATGAAAAGTTACAGTCTGGAACAGCGCTTGTTTTTTGTAAAAACTTACTATCGAAATGGGGAGTCGATTACGGTGACACTCCGCAAGTGTCGCACAAAATACGGCCAACACTTTACATTGGCGAGAGAAACACTGAGACAATTGATTAAGAAATTTGAACAAACTGGCTCGCTAGCAGATCGAGCGATTCCAGGTAGACCGCGAACCGGACGGACGAGTCATAACATCGCTGCTGTGCGAAACAGTGTCGATGCCGACCCAACGATTTCAACGCGACGTCGTGCCCAACAGCTCGGCCTATCGACAAGCACTGTGCACCTCATTCTGAAAGAAGAATTGCATGTTCATTCTCACAGGGTACAGATTACTCAACAACTAGCGTCAGGAGCAATTCTAGACCTGAAGTATCGTGTTTATGAAATTCCTGTAGAGGCGTGATCACTATTGTGGTTATTGTTGTATCGGTTTATGTAATAATTGTGTTTGCTTGTCCTAACGTAATACCATATCGGATTGATTTTCACTGTTTACAATAAATTGTAAACACAGATCTAGAATGCAATTGTCGCCATCGGTACCGCTATGCCAACTACAAGCGCATCATTTAAAATTTTTAACCACTGACTTCGTATGCGTCCTGTGCTCAAATCGAGACAAGTAATACGCAATGTAATTTAGTTATCAATCAAACTTGTACGCGTGCTGTTCATAAGCATAAATCCGTCAGAGCCTGGTTAGTGTGGGCGTCTTTGTAAACAGCCTACCGTTATCTTACAAAAAATATATGCCTGATTCTCGTCAAAGGGCTCTAGACGATGTTTGCATTTCCACAACTTCGTAGCATAATTCCAACAAGGTCTAATGCTATTATTTTTGTGGTGAAATAATTACAGGCTAAAAGGCAGCTCGAGAGAAAACCGGCAGGACCGAGTTTAGACATCGAAGTGACGACGAAACGGTCTAAAAAACCTTTTGCTAAATGTCCCAAATTATCAGAAGAAAAAAACGATAATAAGTCTAACGCTGGGGCGGAACAGGCAAAACATCTGGAGACTGATATCGAAGCAGAGAAAAACTAATCTGAGAGAAGAAGCAGCAATAAAAGCAACTGAGCAAATCTGTTAAATAATTGTATAAAAACGGTAGAAAAATATGAGATAACGGTGTTATGTCATCCAGTAAATAATGATCGTGTATAAATTATAATGTATACAACTAGGAACCGAGAAAATAAATATGTTTCGCTCACCTAATGTTCATAGATGATACGTAATCATTTTAGCGGCCATGTATCCATTATATTTAGATTTGAAATTGCTGTCCAACTAAATTGAATTAGTTTTACGTCTGTTATGGTTTCAATTAAGCATTACTTTAAACGGCTGGGTTATTATATTAAGAAGAATGAACTGTGCGTCTAAGCGCTCTTTTGAACCTAGGCTACCTTACGCGTATCTAAATTTATCCGACAAACGAGTTACCACTACTCTATCACTGAGGCATGTTGCTGTAATCAAAGAGGAGGAAGCGGTTCGATATATCCCGACCTTCTGTTCTTTAAACACGTTGATTGCTGATTATGAAACGGAGAGCGAGATGTGATCATATTAAAATGGATTTCTTGCAAACAGTGAAAAAAGTTCGCATTGGCAAGAAACGAACATGCTAACAATTCTCCACTATAACTTCACTATAACAATAAGTGGTTGTTATATAATAGATTAGAAAAAAATGCACATTTAGTCAAGAAACACTGAGATTCAGGACTTAAGTAGTTTGTGTTACCAAAATCATGAAAAAGTTTTTGTGTATCACTAAAATAACCTGTCAGTCTTCGTCCAGCTAGCAAATAATATTACTAGCGAAGTCACCAGTTAAACATCACATTCGTAGAAACTCAAAGAGTGACTTGAGCCTTACTGGCTAACACGAAAGTTCTTCTACGTAGCAATTAGTACAACTCACTGGCCGAGTTCCACCGCATTTCCTTCGTATTGCTTTCACTGCAGCTATACGATACGAATACTACACGTCTGACCTTGTTTCAGCTATAAATTGGCCTGGTACTGTTACACTTCCTTCTTGCTCGGCATGCCTGAACCACACTTACTCCGTATGCCTCTTTTATTTAATATTAGTTTTATTACGCAGACACGGATCAGACTTTAGACACTCTGTCTGTTAAATACGAGCTAAAATATTTTGTCGAATTTCGGATAGATATGGACGAAAAAAGTTATGACTTCTGTTTCAAAACAGATGTAGACGAACTAGACAAAACAACTATCGTCACGGATCGATCACTTTATTTTACTCAATCTTGCACTGTCAAATATCTTCCTTCTAAATAATAGTCTTCCTTATGCGGTCCCTACTCTAGGCTCAACACTTAAGCAGAGAATACGTCGTAGCGTATAGTGATTGGCAAGAACGAGACGTTCTCACGCAATTTGTCTACGGGTTCGTGCATCTGATCTGCGGCCTGGTGCTACAAAAATCTAATTCAAATTAAAATAGATGAACAGAAACACAGTAGTTTCTCCTACGGAATTTTCTTATACTGAAGATGATATATTGAACCGCTTAAACATTATTACATCGTTGTAGTGAATATATATTTACGTTTGTCTAGTTTGTAAGATGGAAATTGTTTCCTAAATAGAAATATCTAGAACGACGAGCAACGGGAATGATAGCCTGTATACTTAATAATTATAGAAGGAGTAACGCATCTTTGTTGTAGTTGCTCTTTTTATTATTGTTGTTGCTGTCGTTGTGAACGTATTGAGCGTCTTCATAGTAAACGGATTTCTAATGCATATCGTATTCGTTTGGATCCTTATTTTCATTAATTTTTGGAGTTCCTCCTTGGATTTGATCAGGACGAAATATTTGAGGGGCTCGACAAGTGAAGATCCTAGCTAAAGCTTTCACCCCATGAAAACAAGAAATATCAGTAGATTTCACAACCGTTCTAGCACCCTACTCGACTTATTTTTGCTTAGTGTGAGATAGAACGATACCGATATTATGCGATTGGTGATCTGCGTACTTACTGTCACACGCAAGTAAAAAGATCGGGTATATGTTCGAATCTCTGTACTAAATCTATCGACTCTTCAATAATCTTGTGTACCGACTCCAACAGTATCCGATCAAAGCGACTTATCCTTAAAAAGGTTTTTCTTTGCTAAAGACTAAAGATAGATGTTAGATTGTGATGTCATAGTTTTCATATATCCGAATTTCTAAAAAAAAAAATCGATAATGCAAATTTACCGCTGGTAGTAGGTTTAGTGTCAAATAAATTACTGGTGATACATATAGAAATTATTATATGACTTAGCTATAAGTATCCGTATGCATTTAGGTACAACACACTTACAAACATGACCTTTAGTCTCATTATTAAAAAACTATAATAACAAAAAACGTTTTTAATTATTTCTATAGTTAGAGGCTTTTCAAGTTTGTTCGATTTTTGGATATAAACATGATAAACAACTTGGTAACTGCAAAACAAATATTGCTACCGTATCTAATATGTATATTCCCAGAGCATCGTTTAATAAAGACAAGCGAAACGAACTTCAGTTTTAATAAACTATTAGACAAGGCTTGTAAAAACCCTTGTAAAAACTTGTAACCCCATCAAAAAATTCAGTGTGAGCTCTTTGGTTATATTTGTATATGGGATCATATCTACTTCCGTCTTTTGATTTCTTGATGTGCTCCGTAACAGAAACTGTTTTCTAATTTCCTGATCTATTTTATAATATAGAGTGTCGTTTGTTTTTTACGGACGGAAAGGAAGCTACAAATTGGAAGCTGAGTTCAATTCATCTTATACGATTACACGCAGAAAAATGTATTGCTGCAGTAATTAAGTCTACGTATCATGGTATATATTTAGAAATTTTAAACGGCTGTCTGAGATAGACACAACTTACAATTAGGATCAATACTATTTTCTCTTTTAACTCAGGGTAAATGAAAATATGTCAAATGCCAAATCGTAATTGAGCTCATCATAAAACGTAAAATTTTATACGACTATTTCTACAGCTGCTTTGCACGAGGTGCGTTAGATCCAAAGATAATCTTATCAACGCTTAGCATCACTCAACACTGTTAACGTTCCGGTATCTACGCAAGTAGCAAAATCCAGCATAATAGTGTTCCAGTCTTACAAGTACTCTGACGTACTATTATTAATCAGAATTTGTGATAATATTTGCGAAGCGTTAGTCATCTATAATACATTGGATTGATAGTTTTATGAATGATAATGCTCAGCTGATTTGAATTAGGAGGTTGTTGGCTACTTGATAAAGTTAAACGCTACCTTCCGTTGTTAAACGTAGCCGATAAACTATTATGTACGTCGCCGGTTGTGTCTAAATCATCGTTAATCGGCAATCGTATCCAAATCCTACATATGTAGGATTGACATTAAATTACGATTGATGCGGCTGAGCTGTTGAAAATACCGTTTTCAATGTGTGACGAAGTCATCGCTTTGTTGCAAAGTGTAGCTTTCACAGCCTTGAGCCTGTCTGTACTGAGTTTCAGCGAAGGTATTTATACTGTTCACCCGCTCCTTTGATAGATGTATGAGAATGAGTTTAGCTTGTTTGTTTATATCTTCGCGTTAGCGAGAGCTGGGCGGAAAACGAGCCAGCGGAATTCAGTTACAGCTTGAATTTTTTTCTTTTATTTTAACGCTGGTGTGTTTCGTCCGCACTAAAGATAAGATAGGTCTGACGGGAATAATGAACCCAACTCGTACAATCTTACGCAACGTTCGTATTACTTAGGCTTGTTCAGACGAAAACCTTATTAAGCTGGAATCATCGATCCAAAATTTGGTTCCCCAAAATAAACATAGGTTCAACTTTTGCATCAAGCTAATAGTAGATAAATAGTAAAAATTGCCTTCATATATACATATATATTTATATATCAGTGATTCTAATTAACATACTGCTGATCAATTCAGTTTGAAGCTATTAGAAATTAGGCTGGCTTGCGACTCACAAAATATATATTTAAAATGCCAATATCTTTCATTTTATGCCAAAAGGAAGTTGAATAAAACATTCAAGCAAACGTCGAAAATTAATTTTTGATTTCTTCATGTTTATTCGTATGCCAAAGTTTGAGGTAAAATAAAAAAAAAAAGTTTACAGCTAGTAAAAATTCTCTTGTTTTACTCACGAGACATCAAATATTAGCATTTATTAGAAGTAATACAGTAACATATAACATTATGTTAACATAAATATGAAAATGAATATTGGGAGCGTACGTTATCAGCGAGCGGTTAAACAACAAGAAGATAAGCACGTTTTTTCGCCATCAAGTTGTCTGCTTTGAGAGCTGCTGTTTACATATATTCTCTCAAGTCAAGAAGTTTTCTAACAAAACAGTACTCAACATTGAAAACATATATTAATTGTTAGTGAAATTTGCATAGCATTTGCATTTATTGTTTTTAATTAACTACGTCGATTTACTTACTGCTGATTTCCGAACTTCTTCAAATTTATAGGAGCCCATACGCGAACTTGATTCAAAATTAAGATTTCGCATTCGCACACATAAAACAAAACGAAGGTGATAATCGTTTGATAACACAATGAGACGAAAGAGTGACTTTTGAGGATTTATTAAATCGCTTTTTTTCGATTCACCCTATAGCGCTTCTAAGTGTCAAAGATCCGCGACGCCTATCGCTCTTTACATTTTGCTTTTTCTAGACGGCCTATAGAACGCGAGCTTTATGGACTAGCGAATCGGCTTCTAACTAAACAGGTGCTCCTCCATGTCAGCTGTCTCGTTTGCTGGGTGTGATCCAGTGAAAGCAGCGTCTATTTAATCAAGACGTATCAGATATGCTAATAGACCGTGCGAATTTTTTCTGTTCAAGCAACAGCTCCGTCGCGGCAGGAGGACATATTAAGAGTAAAAATGTAG